AGGCTTCTGTGAATGTGAGATCTAAATGACTCCCAATCCCACTGACTCTAGGAGCCCAGACGGGGTTGACCATAGTGGATAGTAAAGTGATATTTGTGGATGAATGCAGAGCTGATGAGTCGAGTGAAAGAACAAGATCATGACCCTGGCTTCTAGGAATTCATGGTCTTGACCAGCCATGACTCAGATCTCTCTTACTTTTGCATTCACAAGTTCAAGTTCTGTGGCTTTGAGTATTATGAGCCGTTAGACCCTCTGCTGACTACTTTAGCATACAGAGAGGAGGGAGAGGCTGTGGGAGGTTAATGACTTGGAAAAGGTGCAGGCTCCCGGGCTTAGGCTGACTGGCTTCTTGCAGCATCCTTGGTACAGGAGGGTTAAAGCTACATTGCCCTGGGGGCGTGTCTGGGACTCAGGAATTCCAGATGCCTCGAAACACTCAGACCACTAGCTTACAGAACCTCCTCTTTGTCAACAAACTTGGTTTTAGTGAGCTTTAGTTCTGGAAAGCCTCGCTTTTCTATTTATAAACATAACCTCAAGTTGGAATTCTAGCTTGTTAAGAGAACTGATTCAGCCCTTTATTCCAAAATAGGTAAATACAAGTAAAAATAACTAACCACTAAACAAAAGCCCAAGTGGCCTCACGGCTCTTAAATGAACGTAAAGCTCAAACAACACTTTCCCATAAAAGCAACTTGTGTCCGACTGTGTCTGCCCACATCGAGCCTGGGCTCAGGATGGGGGGGGCGGGGGCGGAGAGCATGATGCCCGTTTGGGGGAGAGCATGGCTGGCTGTCGCCTTGCTTCACGGAACAGCGTGTGAATTGTGGCTGGACCCATTTAACAGGCCGGCCCATGGGGACCTTGCAGCCAAGCCAGCACAAGGTTCAAAGCTGTGATTCAGCGGTACTACCTGTCTTCTCAAGAACCACCTTCCTCACCTAGGTCAGCTTCACATGGAATATGTAGTAGCTGCTTTAAGATGTATATTCTGGACTAAGGAGTATGGGTATGCTTGTCACAGCCCATCTTATTTCCAAGATCCATGGCAACGACTGTAGAGATGCCGTAACAGGACAGGATGGAGTGTGAGGGGAACCAGGGCAGAGGGAAATAAGAAACTGCTAATACAAACATAGGGTTTTATTCCCAGAAAGTTAACTACCCGTTGGTTTGGCCGTGGCCTGTCTTCCCCACTGGGATGCGACTGCCTATGAGAAGGCCTTTGCACCCCTGCTGTTCTGCCCCCAGCCCCTAGAAAGTGCCAAGAACAAATGGTGCCCCACAAATATTTCAGTGAACAGGAGACCCTCAGGCCTGCTGCAGTTCTGGCTCTGAGCTGCCAAATGATCAACTCAATGGACATGATGAGTTGGTGATGGACAGGGAGGCCAGGCTTGCCACAGTGCATGGGGTCGCCAAGAGGCAGACAGGACAGAGCGACTAAAGAGCAACAAAGCAGAAAGGGAAACAACAGTTACAAACCTGATCTTCAGGTAAAGTACGGGCTCTCAGGCATTTCTCAACCCGGTCTTCAGCTCTACGTGAACCAGCTGTGTCTGACTGGCCAGGAGACAACTCTCCACCCAATGCGACGACCCAATGTTCAGGAGGACTGGGTCCTGTTCCCCTTGGCCAAGACGCTGGACAAGGCAGGGATTCTCCCCGCTCTCCACTCTGCCGCCCCCTCACCCCCAGCCCCTCCCGACCCTGCCCGTCATGTGTCTCCTTGAGAATCAGCACCTGCAGACAGAGGGCTCAGAACATGGAGCTGAGATCAGCCCGGAGGCTCTCCAGTGGCCCAGGATATCTAGGACACGGAGCATGTGGTGGTGGTCAGGATGCAGTCCTTTCATTCCAGAGGCTCATAGATGGGAAGAGGTCGGGGGCGATGGGGTGAGCTGTGCTGTGAGAAGGGTAGGGGGTCTGTGGGGGACACCCAGGCTGGGGGTGGGGCTGGGTATGGGAAGCTATGTCCCAGGGGCCTGGGAGCTAGCTCCGTCTGCAAGGAAGGGCAGCAGTGGATAAGAAGAGGTGGAGGAGGGCCAGGGCAGGTTTAGACAGAGTCAGCAGCACACAAAGGTCCGTCTACTCGAAGCTATGGTTTTTCCAGTGGTCATGTATGGATGTAAGAGTTGGACCATAAGGCTGAGCACCGAAGAATTGATGGCTTATGAAATGTGGTGCTGGAGAAGCCTCTTGAGAATCCCTTGGACAGCAAGGAGATCAAACCAGTCCATCCTAAAGAAAATCAGTCCTAAATATTCACTGGAAGGACTGATGCTGAAGCTGAAGCTCCAATAATTGGCCACCTGATATGAAGAACTGGCTCATTAGAAAAGACCCTGATGATGGGAAAGATTGAAGGCAGAGGAAGGGGATGACAGAGGATGAGATGGCTGGATGGTATCACCGACTCGATAACATGAATTTGAGCAAACTCTGGGAGATGGTGAAGGACAGGAAAGCCTGGCGTGCTGCAGTCCATGGGGTCTCAAAGAGTCAGACACAACTCAGCAACTGAGCAACAACAGCAGCACACAGAAAGGCCTCCTTGCAGATGGGATTATCGGGAAAGTCAAGGTCCACTGGGCTGAGATGGCCAAGGCACAGACCTCAGGAGGAGAATGTCCTGGAGCGTGTCCTGCTCTGCAATTGTCAGTAAACAAGCCCTGGACCAGAAAACAGATCTAATGGGAGCTAACTTTGTGACTGCCTACTGGCAAGTCACGTGTTCCCAGGACCACAGGACTCACCTATGACTGGGAGCCAAAGCAACCCTTAGGGTCCCTTCTGGTGCAGCAACCACAGGGGCCGCTTGTCACCTTCATGTGTGACAGACCACAGGTGGTGCACCATCAGAGTGCCCTGGCACTCTGGGCACCATCAGAGACGTCGCTCACCAAAGCTTGTGAGCCCTTGGCAGGGTAAGTATTGCTCAGGATGCTGGCATCTAAGATTTACTGTGAAGGTTATCTTGTGAAGGTTATCTGTGGTTTAATAAGTTTGGGACACACAACCCTCTCTAAGAGAGGCCCAAGGCTCTTTAGCTTAATAAATGACCTGAGAAGTCCTGCAAAGAACCCTATTTACTTGTGTTTAACCCATACATCCCCAAACTTAATTATGGAACCTTTTTTTTTTTTTTTTTGCCATATCATCCCTAGAATCTACTTTAAGTCTCAAACTCAAGCGTAGAGTCAGGCACTGAGCAGAAAGCGGGGACGGTTGAAAAGCAATGCTCAGAACAGCAACAAAAACACCAGGGACACCCAACATTAGTAAGCAACTCATCAAAAATTACTCTCTAAAATTATTAGAAAAACATTTCAATTCCCTGGTGACTCAGTCAGTAAAGAATCCGTCTTCAGTGCGGGAGACCTGGGTTTGATCCCTGGGTTGGGAAGATCCTCTGGAGGAGGACATGGCAACCCACTCCAGTATTCTTGCCTGGAGAATCCCCACAGAGGAGCCTGGTGGGCTACAGTTCACTCTACAGCGTGCAAATCCCACCATGCGCCACGCTTCTGCTGCGAGGCTGTGTGCGTGTGTGTGTGTGTACAGAGAACACACACTTTGGACAAGTCCAGCTTCACTCACATTTTGGTTCTGTTACAAGGACACCTTGCTGCACAACGGGAGTGGCTTTACTGAGGGAAAAGTGCTTTCTTTTCAAAATACAGCGAAAGCAAAAAGTAGGAGGGGAAAAAAAGCAAGACGTTAAAATAAACGCCTGCTACTTGTTGGACCAGGAAGAGTGTTACTTAAAACTAGGAACCAATGGCTTCTCTCACCAAGACTACTGACCTTGTGTGCAGACCCCAAATGGCCACTGGGCACGTCCCTAGTTTTTCAGACTAAAGTGAGTTGGGTAACAGGGAAATGGTAGGTTTTAACCCTGGCTCTCTAACAAAGACCATGAGTCTTCTCAGGAGCTACTAGGGTTACATACAAAATGAAGAAACAAATCCTGCAGTTGGCGCCCATGTTGGTTATGAGTCACCAACCATGGTTATGGTTTTCTCCTCAAATGTGAAAACTCCGTGACATACACATACGTTCACATATTTGCATCTTTATCTTAAAGGAGCCACATACATTCGAGAATTATTGGAGGATGGTTAAACACTTTTTTAAGTAAACAGGTGTTCAAGGCCCAGACCTCTTACTGTGACCTCAGGCAAGTTATCTCTGTTCTCTGTGCCTCGTTTTTCCCATCTGTAAAATGGGGGTTACAGTAACAGTGAGTGTCTACTGTGGGCTTTAGGATGTGCAGGGCACCGTGCCCAGCATTTTACATGAACTCTCACTGAATCCCAATGTCTCCTCCTCAAGGAAAAGGCTAGGACGTGAGGCTCAGAGTGGTTTAATAACTTGCCCAAAGTCACACAGTGCTAGAAACCAGACATTCTGACTTGCATTCTCCATGTGAATGTCTATGCCCTACTTCCCTCTGAAAGCGGCCGTTTCTGTAATCATGGTGAGGAGTAAACGACATAAAATGTGTGCAACATTCAATACAGATCAGGCACCTCGTACATGTTCAATAAATCTTAGCTAGTATAGGTCCTAGAGCCCTAATCTGAAATCCCAGAGGCCAATGTTCCTTGCAATTCAGAATTTTTCAGAATTTTCAAGGGAGTAAAAACACAATCCACAGAATGAAAAGATGTTTGTAAATTATATGCTTGATAGAGGTTTAATACCCAAAATACATAAAGAACTCCTTAAAACTCAACAACAAACAACAACTCAATTCCAAAATGGGCAAAGGGCTTGAAGAGGTGGTTCTCCAAAGATACACAAATGGCCAATTAAGCACAGAGCTACAGCAAGATAGCACCTCACCGGGATAACTATGGTCAAAAAGCCAGAGTTGGTGAGGATGTAAAGACACTGGAATCCTTGTGTACTGGTGGTGAGCATGTAAAATGGTGCAGTGCTGTGGAAAAAAGGATGGCAGCTTCTCAGAAAATCATACAGAATTATCGTGTGAGCTAGCAATTCCACTCCTGGATACACACGCTAAAGCACTGAAAGCAGGTGTTCAAACAGGTACGTGTACACCCGTGTTCATGGCAGCAATCATCAAAACAGCCAAAAAGTGGAAGCAACCCAAATGCCCAGCGGCAGAGGAATGGATAAACAAAATCTGCTCTATACTGCCGTGGTTCAGTCGTGAAGTCGTGTCCAGCTCTTTGCGACTTGATCCACTGGAGGCCACCAGGCTCCTCTGTCCATGGGTTTTCCCAGGCAAGAATACTGGGGCAGGTCACCATTTGCTTCTCCAAGGGATCTTTCTGGTCCAGGGATCGAACCTGCATCTCTTGCATTGGCGGGTGGATTCTTTACCCCCGAGCCACCTTGGAAGCCGTGCTCTACAAACATACAAAGAAATGGGACTCAGGCCTAAAAAGGAAGGAAATGCTGACACACCTCAGAACATGGCTAGCCCCTAATAAACAAGCCAGATGCTGAAGGACAAATATTGTCTGATTCCAATTATATGTACATACCTGGAACAGTCAAACTCAAGAGACAGATGTAACAGAAGGGGTGGATACCAAGACTGGGGTAAGGAAGGGATGGGAGCTGGTGTTTAACAGGGACAGGGTTCAGGTTTGGGATGAACAAAAGTTCTGGAACCAGGTGGTGATGATGGCTGCAGAACAATGTGAATGTGAATGTACTCAGTGTATAGTCTAAACTTTTGGCTCTATGATGAGTTTTATGTGGAATCTGCCACAGAAAAAAAACAAAACCAACAAGATCTACAAGTTGTTCCCACACGGCCTTACACACAGGTCAGGAGTGCTCCTGGCTGCCTGTCTGCCGTGAAGGTAGCCCTTGCTCCTGGTTTCTCTGCAGGGGTCACAACTCGGTCCCCACCCCAGGGGGCTGTGACCAGCGTCGGCCATTCCACCCAACACCTATATTATACGCTCATGGAGCCACAAAAAGAAAAAGTTCCCTTCTATCTGGATCCTTTCCACACACACCACGTGTCCCCTCTCCGAGCCACGGGGGGGGGGTGGTGAGGGCCGTGGTCTTGGAGGTGGTCTCCACCATGCAGTGGGTTCCCGGCAGTGACACCGACGTGGGCAAACACACAGGCTATGCGGAAGTCCTCGGGAGGAAAACACACATACTGGGAGACAGCACGGAGCTTCCTTAAAAAACAAGGAATAAAACTGCCATGTGACCCAACAAGCCCCCTACTAGGCAAATAGTGGGGAAACCAAAACCCTGAGAAAACCAAAACTGAAAAAGACACTGTACCCCAACGTTCACTACAGTGCTATTTACAGTGGCTAAGACATGGAAGCAACCTAGATGTCTACTGACAGATGAATGGATACAGAAGCTGTGGTACATATATACCATGGAATATTACTCAGCCATAAGAAGCAACACATTTGAGTCGGTTCTAAGAAGGTGGATGAATCCCAGAGACTATTACACAGAGTAAAGTCAGTCAGAAAGAGAAGAACAAGTATCACACATTAACGCATATTATTTGGAATCTAGACAGACAGTACTGATGAACCTACTTGCAGGGCAGCAGTGGAGATGCAGACACAGAGAACAGACTTATGGACACAGGGGCGGGGGGAGGACGGAGAGGGTGGGATGGATGGAGAGAGCCGCATGGACCCACACACTGCCATCTGTAAAACATAGACAGTCAATGGCAACTTGCTGTATATGACTCGGGGAACTCAGACGGGGGCTCTGTGACAACCAAATGGGGGTGGGATGGGGTGGGAGGTAGGTTCAAGAGCAAGGGGACATATATATATATACACCTATGGCTGATTCATGTTGATGTGTGGCAGAAGACAACACGGTATCATAAAGCCATCATCCTTCAATTAAAAATAAATAAATTTTCAAAAAACACACACTTTTTCTTCTTCAGTTTAAAGAAGTCAGAGGAGGAGAAAAGGAAGAGATTAATTTAAACTCTTATAAAAGAAAATGGATTTTTTTTTTTTCTCATTTTAAGAAACTTCTACTTGTCATCTTGTTCCTCCAGCCAAGTCATTCCTTTTAGTGCTTGGTTTACTGAGTTACGAAAAGGTTAACTCAAAGCCTGAAATAACAGAATTCTTTCTTAACCAATAATATACTGAAAGTGTCTCCTAAAAATCTAGAAGCTTGAACACACTGTTCACTTGACTTCAGAATAACTAAATTTACTTAAGGAATGTGTCAAATGTGTCATAAATAATCCAGGACCTGGAACCCATCAGTCAATGTGGCAGGATTTCAGAAAATCACACTGGCATTATTTAAGTCTGAAAAGAACAAGGCAAGTGTGAGTCGATAACTCCACCAGCGCATGAGGTAGAACTTGGTAAACGACATTTTATCCTTTTAAAGGACACATTTTCAGGTGACCATGGAATCAAAACATTTTAAAGATAATTTCTGCTACAACTATCTAAGTGCTACATCCACTCAAAATGAATCAAAACAAGAAAATAAAAAGTCAAAAGCACACCAAGTGAACAGACCATAACTTTATTGGAGATTTACTTGGCTACAATCATTACAAAAAAAAAACAAAAACAAAAGACGACTAAAGGTAATCGTGACCCTTAAGGTGCAGGCTGCAAATTTCTGCAGCATGATTCCTGTATGAATGAGTCACATCATGTTCCTTAAAAACAGCTGCAGCATGTGATGCTAAGTATTTTATTGTCAATCAAATTATGTGTGTTAGTCTTACTTGATTTTAGTCATTTTTCTTTCATTCTATTTACAGCAGAAAAGCCAGAAACTTCACTTCCTGTTCACCTTTGCATTTTTGCTACGTAACCTGCTGCTGCAGTGAATTCTGAGTGCATCTAGAAAATTTAAATGGTGGGTGATGTCCAAATAAAAATGGACTAGAGGGGGAAAAAAACAAAAACACAATGATTAAAATATATTTACAAGTTAATTTCAAAACATCATTTTCACCTCTAGTGGAAAATACAATAGTCTCAATGCAAATTCCCTAGGTATTGCTACTGGCAAATTCCAACAACTTTTAAAATCATTTCAATATTCTTGGTCTTAAACATATCTTAAAAACTTCTCATGTACAATATAAAATAAAGAAATTTATTTGGAAATAATTAAGTTCCTGAAAAGCAATCAGTGGTTGAAAAAATATACCTATTTAAATGTAATTAAAATAACCATATAGGTAATAAACAAGACATGAGTTTCAGTTCCGCAGCGAACACAAACTGGTTCACTAGAACTTCAGATGCAGTTGAAATGAAGATATCAAGGTCTCAGTTTGGTGGCTTAAATGTTGTGTAAAAGGATTAGATACCCTAACAGAGCAAGATAGAAAGTTTTAAATCAACGGGGCCTGAAGACTGAACTGCGGTGGGTCTGCATCTCCATTAGTCTCTGCACTCTGCAGTCACCGGCCGATGTCAGGTGGTGACTCAAAGAGCCGACTGCTGTGTGAATAATTGTACTTATGAACTGAACCAACAGAACCAGAGTAGCCTCCAGTCTCTTGCTATTTAGGCAGGGTAATTTGAATCTTTCTGAGGGCAAGCTATTATTAAGAGAGGAAAAATATTAGCATTTTAAAAGATAATTACAGGAGTGTTAGAGGTTGTTCTAAATTTAATCATTTCACATAATGTAAAAAAGAAAAGAAAAAGTTAACAAACATCTTGAAAACATAATTAAGAGTTCAGTTAACAAATCTTTGTCATACTTTCACAAACAGTAAAAATGCCACAGACAAAAATGACCTATTTAAGTTGTGCAAGTATATGACACATTGCAGGCATTATAATTATCTTTTTTTCAAATTCGGTATATCAAAACAGCAGCGAGGCCAAACCACATGTTCTCCTCTCGGTTAAGCATATTTTCCTTGACATGAGGTAAAGCGTGGTACCAAGTGCAGTGCTTATCTGTGCTACACGAACAGAACAGAGGGGGAAAGCCATTACAAAACGCAGCATAGTCAGGACTGCTGAAAGGATTCTTTAAAAAAAAAAAAATCAAAAAACATTTACAATGAAGGTTCATGCCAGCTAACCTCCACACAATCATCGTAAGGAATTTCTGCAGTTGCTTTTCAAAACGTGCCTGCCCAGTCCTTCCCGTGTGTGCTGGCCATACAACCACACCGCCCACCAGCGGGGCTTCCAGATCACACCGGGTCTCACATGGCAATCACAGGAACAAAAGGATGACAGACAAGGTGGTAAGTGGGGCGAGAGAGCAATTTTTTTTTTGTCCCTTAATTAAATGGATGCAAAACATTTCAGTAAGCTAAACTGGGGGGGAAGTTTACACCATTAAAAAATCAGCAGCACAAAAGCATTCATAACCATTTTGTATATCTACATCAGAGTTTTGAGTTTTCAACTTAGGAACCAGGGGATCAGAGATTGCTTCAAACTGTGAGTCACAAACTAAAATCAGCTACTGTCCTCCAACCAAAAGGAGAAAAAAAAAAAAGCAATAGCTAAAGTCTGCTGTTGATAAAACATTTTGAATGGTAGCAGGAAATTTGAACCCCTGAGACTGTGTGACCTAATCTTATCCAAGTCTGAACTTTTTAGTATTAACAAAAAATACTCTTCTTAAGGTTACAAAATATATTGAGGCATTTTTCTCCCAACGGGGATTGTAACTGTGAAACAATCTGATTTTGGTGCCAGGAGGCCAGAGGATGCCTCGACACTGGGATTAGTGCATTAGACACAATGCAAGGCCCTAAGCTCCTGGCAGCAGGTAGTTTATAATTATCAAGAGATTTGTGATACAGCTTTATCATGAATCACCCTCACAAGGAAAATTCATATCCAGCCTTACTTGTTTAAGTGTACACATTTACAGTTATGTAATTCAAGAAGCGCTTGGTTTTACATTGTCAGGAGATCTTACACGGAGGTGTCTTTTAAAAAAAATCAAATAGAAATCGAAGGCTCCAAATCAGAACTAAATTTTTTAAAAAACATGTCCACCCAAATAAATTTGCTCTAAAGCTCATTTAGTAACTGAGATCTCAGTGGAAGTTTAAGGTTGGAGACGACAAATCACGTGGGAGAAGCTGAATGCTCCCTTCACTCGGGTCTCCTTAGAAAGCGCAGTGGACAGGTTTCTGGGTGCACGCGTGCAGAGGTGTTTTTCTGGGGATGGGTGGCGCAGATAAAGCGAGAAGTACAGTATTCGACTGCAATTCAAAATATCAATGCAGCATTATATGAGGCGTCACGTTCAGAATGATGTGCTGGAAATTACAAGACACCTCTGCTCAGCTTTCTTGAATTTCAAGCATAATTAAGGGGCAATTGCAGCAAAACTCTACTGGTACATTGGTGGGAGTGCAAGACTGACCCACAGCTTTTAAAAAGGTAAATTAAGAGGTATTATAGTTACAGTGCAAAAAAAAAAAAAATTAAAATTTCAAGCATAATACATAAACATAGCACCAAATGGGGAGGGAAAAAAATGCATGCAAAAGAAAAGAACTGAGGTATTTAAGTGAAGAGTGCCTACAAGTCTAATTAAAGAAACTTAGGCAAATGCCTAAAAGTGTCTTTTTTCTTCCTTTCCCAAAGATGGAAACAATGAGCTAGTTTACCTAAATTAATGGCCTAAATCACAGACATATCAAAATTACGGCAGTTTATCGCAAACGTTAAACTTTCATGGCATTAACAGCACAGCTTTGGTAGATGAAGTATGCATGCAACACTGTGAAAAGCACAGTAAGAAATGTATGTGAGAAGCCTAAGGGTAAGGTGCTCTGTTCTGCTTCTTTAAGTAAGTAACCAATCCATTATCAGATCTGCAGCATATTTTAGGTGTGATATGTATAAAGTTTATTTTATTAGAGCAACAGCCTACAGGGCAAGGTTTATTTGCCACAAACAATTTCCATCCGTGGAACTACCTAGCCGGAGGTCTCTAGTAAAAGTGGGGTATTTAGCCAAAGATGATTCTTTATGATGCATCTTTTAAAAAATCCATAGGTTACATATTCTGGTTTTGAAAATGTCTTCAGTACACCTAACAGAAATTCTCATATAATCCTGTCATTAGTTAGGTTACAGCTATACTAGTGAGTCGTTAAGTATCACGCTGTCTCAAGGTCTAATGCCTAATAAACAGAATGAAGGGAATGTGAAACGGTTTGTTCCAAAAAGATTGAAAGTGAAAGCATATCCACGAGGATTTTACTTTTAAGGCAAGAACCTCTTTTATGCAAGACAACATGGCATGAGAAAACTAGAATGTGATCTGCCAACATGCCGGCCAGTGCTGATCAACAATCTGTCCCTTACTGGTAAGTGCAATAGCGACCGGGAAGCATCATCTTACGCGATACAACGTGGAAAGGAGAGACAACATTGGCACACTCCTCTCAAACCGCATCCGTCTATGCGGCTTATCGGCGCCACAGGGCGGGCTCTGCCACGCACGCTGACAGGTGCCCAGAGCTCTCAACAGAACCCGTGGCGGGGGGCAGGGGTGCTGTTCCAGGTTTAAGCTCCTTGGCCTCCTAACTCTAAGCAAAACCGACAGAAATTAAACTAAAATGAAACAAGACAAAAACTGTCAAGAATCACTTTGAACACTTAGGAAAATGTCATCGGTAAAGCACTCTCGTGATTTAAACAAAGCAGAAGTGAGGAAAGAAGACAAGAAAGATTGTGTTTGCGCAAAAAACTAAAACTACGGTTAGTTCCAAAATTTTTATACATAGGTTAAATGTTTTATTCTGTAATCTATCTTGTTATCAAACAAACTTTACGTTCTGCCTTCAACTCGTTCCACTCACTATCAGTTTTAAATCATCCTTTTCAACTTAAATATTTTCCACCTTAATTCTGCTTTTTTTTTTTTTAATTTATAAAGGGGCTTTCAGCTGTTGGGAACCTGAGGCTGATTGGCTTTGAGGCTTCGCAGGGCTCTTCTTGCTGCCGCAGACTTGGCAATCCTGTAGCTCCGGCCAACACCTTTGAATTTCCCCTTCCCGACCACTTCCACGGTGACTCTGACCTTGCCATCGTAGGTTCTCTCAGCTGGGCTGCAAAGAAGCCAAGCAGCTTGGATCAGAAGTCAGAAGTATTTATGATTATTGTCAATCAGCACCGAGTATGTACTCTCAGGCTGAGAGTCCCCTGTTCGAGCTGACACCGCGCAGAGGAAACGTGCGTTCTGACAGCTGCCAACTGCCAACAGATGCTGTGGCCACTTTCTTCTCACTTCCCAGGAGCACAAAGAGCCAGTCAATCAGGCTGCAAATGGCAACGCAGGACAGCATGTCCCAAGGTGAGGATTTCTTCAAAACCGTGAGTTTATGACATCTCTGAGGACTCTCCCCCCTGTTTTTCAGCAAGTTAACGCTCCTCCATGCACACTTTTGCTTACCTGAATTTGGCAGTTTCTGGTTCCATTTCAAGCAGTTCTCGCACAGGGGAACGGGGCACATTTGCAGAAAATTTTTCTGTAATCAAAATGAAAGAATAATGTGCTTAATACCCTTTTTTTAAATTTTGGTTTAAGTTGCTTTTCACTGTGATTCTGCTTCTTTCGAAGGGGAGCCAACCATACCAATCAGTGGCCGCATCATGGGATAGTACACCTGCCAGACCATCTCTAGCGACATCCCGCTGTCCATGTAAATGGCACCAGCAAGTGACTCGAAAATATCCCCCATGGCCTTTGGAACTTCAATATCCTCTTCTTTCTCTTCATCCTCCTCGGATCTCCTAAGCTATTAGAGAAAAGAAACTCGTAAGCAAAAAGCCTCTACGAAAGGCAGTCTCTAGAGATAATTTTCTTTTCTTGGATGCTGACTCCTACTATCTCTTTAACAAGGGTAACAACATCAAATATTTATGACAGGCCAACTACACTGTAATAGGTTCTTCATAAAAGTTGCTGCTGTGTCCGACTCTGAGACCCCATGGCCTACAGCACGTCAGGCTCCTGTTCTCCACTGTCTCCCAGAGTTTCCTCAAATTCATGTCTACTGTATCAGTGACACTATCTAACCATCTCGTCCCCTGCTGCCCCTTCTCCTTTTGCCTTCAATTTTTCCCAGTATCAGGGTCTTTCCCAATGAGTCCAAACATTATCTTATCTTAAAAAAAAGTTTTTCACTTAAGAAAAAGAAAAGCCCTTCTCTATTTAGTATTCTGTATTCAACATGGGAAAAAAGATTGCTTTAAAATAAAACCAAAGACAACCCTAACACAGACTGTAATAGTCAATAAATTTATGAAAAAAAATTTCAAATTCACGCACAATCACAGAACTGCAGGCTGAAACAGCTCTACCAGCTGGTAGTTCAGCTAGGAGCCGGCAGAATCCTCATCCATGCAATGTGACTAAGGGTGCACACTGCTGCAGGGAGGCTAAATCGCCACTTTTTGACAGGGAAATTCTACTTGGAAGATATTTTCCTCCCAGCTCCCCTTTTATTAAACCACTTAATAAATGTTCACTATGACAGAGAACCTGACACATAGAGGGTATTCAGACTAACAGAATAAAAATTTACATATGTATCAAATGTCTTTTAAAAGTTCCTAATTCTTTGATGTGGCAATTCCATCTCCAGGAATTCATCGTAAGCAGGTAGCTGGATATTTAAGTATATTTATCACATACATGCTTATTAAAACCCTACCTAAAAACACGTTAACCATCCAGCCACAAAGGAGCTGTTGAACACATTACACTGCAGCCATATATTCAGTAGCATGTAGCCTACTGAAAGTCATAATCCCAGTTAACAATGATTGGGGAAAGTCACCCACAGTATATTAAGTAAAAAGAACAGGGTATGAGTGATAGAATTTCATTTTGTATGTTATATAAGTTTATGTTTATATACATTAGCAACAAAACATCACAAAATGATAATTTTGGTTATTTTATAAAAAACAAATTACTTGTGAAAGAGAAATAAAAAGAAGGGGGGAGAGCCATTTCTAAATGGACTGCTTAGCCACACAAAATTCTATACAGTGTATTTATAATGCCGACTACTGGAAAAACAAGATAACTTATTGTTGTGGATGGGAACTTTAAAACTTACCAAGTTCACAAGCATCTACTTGTGGCTCAGACGGTAAAGCATCTGCCTGCAATGTGGGAGACCCAGGTTCAATCTCTGGGTCAGGAAGATCCCCTGGAGAAGGAAATGGCAACCCACTCCAGTACTCTTGCCTAGAAAATCCCATGGACGAAGGAGCCTGGTAGGCTACAGTCCATGGGGTCGTAAAGAGTCAGACATAACTGAATGACCTTACTTGCTTTTTTTCACCAAGTTTAATTCTCTTCTTTTAAAAATGAGTAAACTGAGGCCCAGAAAGGTGAAGAGACTTTCTTAAGATCAAACAGTAAGTTAGAGAAGCCAGACCATGACATTTCCCATCACTCTTTCATAACTTCCATACATATATTTATATAAACAAAGGGCAGGAAAAAAATGAACAAAAACTAGCAAAGCCAGTATGTCTAACTGTCATCAAAAGGTAACTATATTTTTCTGGCCAGGGATCTTAGTTCTCCAAGCAGGGAATCGAACCTGTGTCCCTTTCATTGGAAGCTCAGAGTCTTAACCACTGAATCACCAGGGAAGTCCAAAAGATAACTTTAGTTTTAGCTAATTCCTCAACTTCTCAGCTTAAGTATTTCTACAGGAGGAGACTGGAAGCAATACTGAATATACCTGAGATGGCTGTGACTCCTGGGCCCACCGCTGGCTGTGCGCCACCTCAGACCACTGATCTCGGGAGAGTGTACCAGGAGGAAGAGGGGAGGAAGGGTACCAGCGGTGAGCCTCCTGCAGCACACCCGCCGCCCGCCGACTCACCACCTGACCCTCTGCCCTGAGGCTCCACCTCCACACCCAGGCTCCCCACTCCTCTCACCAGACGCCAAGGAAGTGCACTCCTCCTCAACAAAGTCTGTGTAACTAACAACAGGTAGGAACACAGTCAAGAAAGAATAATTACAATGGCTACCAGTTATGAATGGATCCCCTGACTTCTCGTAAGAAATCTACGCAAAGAACAAAGCAGTCGGAATGAGAAGGAGAAATGAGAGCGCCCTCCCGGGTACCCGGGTATGTGGATGGATGTTAGCGAAGAATCAGAGGCCGGAAAGATCTCAGCAAAACCCTTTCCTACAAAACTTCAAAACAGGTCACATACACACACACACACACACACACACACACACACACACACACGAGAATTAGCTCCATCACCAAAAGGACCTTTGGCTGAACCTACAGTTAGACGTTTCTCAAATTCCAGCCCTTAAAATTTTAGAAGTTTGCTTTTTAAATGAGATTTCCCCATTTCAAGTGAAGCAGGATGTATGTTAGTGATGCTTACCTGAGATAGAGCAAATATTTCTGACCTACTTTAAACAGAGAGAAAGGACAGAATCCACCCTGCCGAGCTCTCACTAAGGTTAAAGCTTTTTTGGGGACCGGGGAGGGGGGGCTGCACCTCTCTGGCGAGCCTGAATACTGGAAGCCCACATCAAGGACTGGGGATGAAGTTGTTGGAAGCCCCTGCTCCTTCTCCTCACCAGAATGACCACAGTACCCATGGCCAAGTTTAAAAGAGCTGCCTGAAGACTATGACCCATGTAAGTTTCCTGGAGAACGCAGAGCGTGCTGAGGACCACAACCCTGGCCTTCAGCCGGTTCTCTGGATGGCTGTGTTGAGAAGCCTAGCCGGAAGGCTTATTTTAAACACCGAATTCAACGTATCTTAAAACGGCACTAACCTCAGAATCCATTCCTTGCATTTCGTTCTTCTCGAGCTGAAACTGCACGAAATCGTCGATGACATGGAAGAGCTCGGGAGAAACGGCCTTAAAGTACTTGTGATAGTCATACTTCACAGCCAACGATGCAAAGATGGTGTTGTTGACCAGAGCAGAGCGCAGGTCAGTCAGGACCCCTGGGGAGTGCTGCCGTGGGTCTTCATAAAGGTGCTTGGTTATGAGGTAGTCCAAAATTGCATCTCCCAGGAATTCTAAGCGCTGGTAACAATCTGAAGGAAGATTCAAAGGGAAGCCCTGAGCGCCGGCAAAACCACTGACACGATTTCCAAATCATAACTCAGTTAAAGGATGGATTTCCCCCAAGACCCACTGAAAAGACCTTTATTGCAGGGGCGGGGGGAGGGTTCATTTTCACATATATTCTTCAATGACAGAATTACTGAATGACATCCTACTGAAGCTTCTGGAAATTCAACTCTAGTGGAAAATTAAGCAGATTTCTGATATATAAATTGGGGTCATAAGATCCTTAAGTCGCCAAAAGACTAACGCTCGTTAAGAAAAAGGCATTTCCCAAGTGACATCATTTCACTGAGCCCGTTTCCTTGGGCTCTCTGCTGGCCAGGCAGGTGCCGGGGCATCCTTCCAAAGCCTCCACCACGATCGGCATCTAGCAACGCCAGGCCCTACACACGTTCCCCCGCCGCCACGCTTCCGCCACCACCACTGGGCACTGTCCACTCACACTCTGGAAAGTGCGGGAGTGACACACACCTCACCACTCCTGGGTTGCATCTGTTACATAGGATGACACTTATGTACAAGAAGACCTTCTTCTCAACTGGAATGCAAAACGTGAATCTGACACAAACCCAGAAGGGAGCACGGGAGGCAAGCAGAGACCTTAAGCAAAAACCATCAGTGTCAGAGTGAAACCGCGTCTGCACTGAGCAACGCCCCCGCTCCTCGCGCCGACGGAACGGGGGCCGCTCGACCACAGAAACCGAGGCGGGGACAGATTGAGTGAGCAGCCCCCTCATGCCCAGCGCGCTCAGACGCAAGGGCTGAGACAGAATAGAACCCAGGGCTCCTTCCAGGAGAGTGCGGTAGAAAACCAGGCATCATTTCTTCTCCACAAAGAAAAACAGGTTTTAGTTTCACCAGTGTTTCTAGGCCAGAGCCAGATAATTTTTCACTTTTGGTTTTACATTCTTCTGATCATCTTAACCTACATTGTTTTTCTTATACAAACGTTATACTCAGCTTTGGTTTTCTGAATTCAAGTGCTTATGACACTGACATAGGGGGAAAAAAAAAAAACAAAAAACTACAGACTCTCGCTGTTTCATAACCTAAAGCTGGTTTTGGTTTTAGGCGCCTATTCTCCCTTCTGATCAAATGGACTGGGAGTCGATTAAATAAAGGAGAGAAAGAAACATGGAGCCTACTGCAAAGCAGGTGACGGAAGAAACAGCAAGGACAATGAAACCTTCCTGTGATAAGAGTTTCTTTTAATCTATTCCTCTTTAGACTTTAAAGGACCTTAAGAGAGGGGCCTTTTTGTTCAGGAAGAACAATAAAAAGACATGGAGACACATCCAGGATATAGGAATAAATTATTTAAGAACCTGAAGCAGCAGTGACCGGACACCATAAAGGCAGTGGGGTAGGATAAAATGGCAAAAACACATCACATTACTACGGCTCAAATCTAATTATGCTGCATATAAAATGACAGATACACAAGTCGCTAAGACAGCTCTGCTCCCAACTATCAAAGTTTAGGGAACAGTGTATGCACCCAGAAAGATGAGGGGAAAAAGGACTGTTTTCATTTTCCTGCACTTCCTCCCCGCACCGTGCATATTAAGCTCTAAGTCTGTACACACAGATTATTCTCTTTACATTATTTTACAGGTCGATCCAATTAACACCAGGTCTCATTTTCAGAGCAGCGAGCTGTGCTGGCGCTCCTTACCCGTGATCGTATTGTAGTGGTAAGAGGCATGTGTAAAAGCCTGTAGAAGGTAAGCCTTGTTCTTGAATCTGTAGTTGATTTTCTTTTCGAAATTTTCAAAACCCGAGATCAGGTGACGCAGTGTCCTGTCTGCATCGGGGTGATCAAACATACACCTTGGGGGGATCTTCAAACACCCATACTCCAAGTCTTTCAACACAGAGGCTCGGGAGCCGGCTCCAGAGGCGGCTGCACGGCTCCCTGAAAGGTTCTTTTGTTGGCTGGTGAAATTCTCCCTGGTCAGGCACATGGCCTTTTCCCGATCAGTCCTTTTAATTACTGGGAGCACCTTCAGCCCCAGAGAGCAGAGGAAAAGCTGAGCGGCCCTCTCGCCACAGCTGGTTAAATAGCAGCCCAGCAGGGCCTCCACGCAGTCGGCTATGCTTTTGTCAGCAATGCACTGCTCCGTGTGCAGGTCGTAAGAGATGGACTGCTTCCCTGTGTCGACACCGCAGTTTTCTTCTGATGGATTCCAGAACCCCACCACAAAGTCATCCTCTTCAACAGCTTTGCTCGGATCCAGGTAGCACATCGCATCCCACGAGCTGTAGTCGAAATCCTCAAAATCGGATGAGAATGGCAGACTACCTAGGGAGGACTTTTTGGGCATTTTCCACTCGTATGCAGAATCGGTGGCTGAAAAAGGAGAAAGCGAGATTTTCTTGACGAAAGCCCCTGACCCCATCAGCATGTTATCTATGAACTTGATGTGCTCCTGATCATACTCCAGGAAGTCGTCCTCGTCGTCGGCGTCCTCCTTGGGGGCCCTCCACATCAGGCCCTCCTCCTCTTCCTCCTCCTCAAAGTCCTCGTCCAGTTTGCCGTTAGCCAACACGCAGTCTTTTGTCTGGAAGGGGGGGGAATGGGGAGGGAGGGGAGACATAGCGCTGTTTTTAAAAGGGTTTGAGACTCAATAAAAGCAAGGGTTATGGATAATTTCAAATGACAACCACAAATACTAAAAGGCAACTTTCAAATCATGGCCATTTGTTTTCAATTAACATAAAATAAGTTATTTAATCATATAAACAAAGTAAAATATGTTCTTTGAATGTTCATTTTCTAAGTTATAAAATGACCTTTATCTAGTATGAAGCTTTAAGTTAAGGATTTTATACATGGATATAAAGTTTAAAATTCAGGCTCACAAGGCAAAACTTCAGCCAAGAATTATACCTCTGGCAAGACACACAATGAAAGCTCTCATGTGCCGATCACAGAGCTCTTCGATTTTGCTGACAAAGTTTAAAAAAATTTTTTTAAAGATTTTCAAATGAACAAAATTAAATTCCAGGTGTAGAAAGAGCAGAACTTCCGTAATTCAGTAAGAGTATAATATATAAATAGATAAAATTATTTTCTTTATAACATTAAAAATGTACAGTGGGGCTCCAGGATGAAGTTTTTGTCCCTATTGCCACTTCAAATCAAAGCATATTCACTACAATGTAAAACTAAACTGCCTTGCTTGGAAACTAAAAGTGATCACTATGAACTAAGCTTTGAATTTGAGAAATTATGCTTTTCCCTTCAGGGTAACAGATTATAGCATAACTGACAAAAATAGAAGACAATTTAGACTAACATGAAACACAACAATCCAATTTCTGTCAGAAGGTCTTTGCTAATTCCAGTTTCTCTGGCAAAAGCTTATTTGTGAGTGACAATCTTAATAATGGGCCAGGATTCAGTAACCATGGAACTTTTCTGCAATGCTAGAAAGACACCAAATTTCTGTTATACAATGAAAAAAAAAAAGAAAATAAACAAGACTTTACTTGGGGAGAAAGGCAGGAGGGTGTGCTTCAATTTTGATAGTGACAACTTTGCAGAGTATTATGACAAAAAGGTTTTCAAGCTTTCTGTGGAGCATTTTTTTCAAGAGAGATACAAACAGTGCATTTGTCTGAAAAGAAATAAGTGCAATGAACCAAGCCATGTTATCTACAACTATCTTTCTTTACATTTTTTTGATTAAAAAGTTTATGATTTCTTTTCAAGAATAATGAAGAACACCAAAAAAAAAAAAAAAAAAAAAAAGCTATAATGGTGGACACCTCTAGGGACTATTACCTAATAAAAACCATATACTTTCCCAGAGTAACATGAGATGTTCTTGACTATCTGGTCCTTAAGGGGGGAGGGGGGAAGGCCAAGTTTTGATTAAAAAAGAGACAATATTATTTTCATTAAAAAAAATCCATATATATCTTGAGTAAGATGCTACCATAACCAAAAATTGGCAAAGTGCAAAAAATGCCGGGGCTTTATCAACAAATAAGCTGTGTGATCTTGTGCAAAGTTCTTTAATGCCTCCGGGTTTCAGTTTTTTTATCTGCAAAACAGTGGGATTCTACCTCATTCAGTGGTTTCCAGGAGCACTTCAAGCTCTTTAAGAATAAACAAAAACAAAAAAACACTAGCAAGAAACTCTTCGCTCTCACAGTTCAAGTTCACTTTCCACCTAAGCTATTCCCACCTCTGGTGTCTGTACACAAAGCTTTCGTGTAAACCTACTTGCTGAGCAGCGAAGCAGGCAGAATAGGAGTGGATCAAGCATAAGCTTCCTAGTATCATATAACAGTCTATTTCAAGAAGCAGAAATTATTAAATAAAAACATAAACAGTATTTTAATGCAATCTAAGAACCAAAGTACCAGGCCATTTGAAATGCTAAGGAAAATAAATACGAATTTTATGTTGTATCTTAAAAAAAAAATTTTTTTTTAATTAAAAGTACATGCTAATATCACCTTTATGCTTACAGTTTTTAAAGCACCAATGATACTATGAAACTATTTATAAGGCAGGATAACTGTTTCTGGAATTTTTGTCACAGACATGCAAGATTTTTCTCTAAAGTTCTCAAAATCATACACACTTTCCTCTAAGTTTCTATTTCTAAATTAATAACATGTATAATTTTTCTAACCCAACTTGCATTAAAATACTCAATGCTCTGCCAGGTAAGTCCAATTTCTGTAATAAGTCAAATACTGCACAAGTATAAAAATATATTCAGTGAATAGGTAAAAAATCAAAACAGAGTCACTGAGCATGCTACCTGGAAATACTTAAAAACATCTAGGACATACACATCAGAAAGAAGATGAGAAAAAAAAATACATATAGAAAACATAACTTGTGAAAGAAAGTATTCTCATTGCTGATCTGAAGCAGAGATGAAGTAACAATTAACCAGTTTATCATTAATGCAAAATAAATGTCTGGAAAATGAAACTGCTGGCAAGATGGCCTCCCAGCCAAGCGCACTGGACGCCGGCTCCCAGGCCCGGCGAGCTGCCCCCTGGTGGCCTTCCCGGCGAGGCAAAAGGAGACAGCAGCAGCTCACGCTCGCAAGCTTCTTTTCAGTTGCTGGCAAGGTTTAAATTATTTCCAGGAAACTACAACCTTTACTTTTTTTTTTTTTTTAAGGTCACAAGAGGAGAAACAGTCCTGAGGAAGCCCTGAGCTGCAAAAGCAAGATTTTACTGAAATCGTTTCACAGACAGATTGGAGATTACAGGCTACTGAAAGGTCATTTCACTAAACAAAGCTAAGGATCTGTGATAAATCGTAATGTGTAATAGTCAAGTGAAATGTCACAGAGTTAAGCCCTTTTTTTTTTTGAATCACACCACCAGATACTCTTCTGCCTTTGGCAAGGGAGGATAACAAACTGTTCTCTATCACAGTTACAACACTGTTCTAAATTCAATGAAAAGAAATTAATTTACTATATTGAATTTCTACTCTATTATAAACACACTGGGGAAAAGAAACAAAAAATTAACAGAACAAGATTCTGCCCCCTCACCAAAAAATAAACCCACCCAGTTACCAGAAACTTACCATTTCATCTTGTTCCCATTTCTCTGTGTTACTTTTGTCTTGATTTACTACATAACCAGGAGGAAGCCAATTCACAGGGGGGTCAAATATGGACACCACCATGCGGCTGGGCAGCCCCTTCTTTTTTCCAAGCCGATACAGATTACAGTTGCTGACCTGCAGCAGAAAACATTTATGCAACACTTGTCCATAAACGATTGTTGTGGAAGCTCATGTGAGACATTAACGTAATTTTTAGCTAAAGATTCTTCATATTCCGTAACTAGTCATCAGTTATACAGACAGCATAGTTTTTCTACCTATCCATGACAGAAAATATTAAATTCTCATGTAATCTGATGATATAAAATTCAAATTGCTGATTGGAGCTATCAAAATAGAAAATAATCAAAATTCACCAAGTCCAAAATGTCCCAATATTCTCAATGGAATAAAAGGCAGAAGTACCATAAACTCTAGCTATAAAATAAAAACCAGCACTGAACTGAACTAAAATAATTTTTTAAGTTCTTTGAGCCTAAACTATAAATATGATTTCATCCTCAATGCTTTTCCAAATAGCATTCTTTTGTTTTTGATGGCATTTCAAGCTATTTTGTTTAACTATTTTAAAACCAAGCAGATGTAATAAAGAGAAATCCCATGTTTACTGACATCAGCTTTACTGTCTTCCCTCTGGTATGTTTTTTCTAAGGCCTTCATCTGCTCCGTAATTTATTCAAATCACTGTGTCTCTACCTAGTTTTTACTTGGAACACCAAGGTCTAGAACTGTCAATCTCATTTTCCAAAAACGGGGTTCCTTTTTATTTAAGTACTTCATGAGTCCCTTTCCCCCGCGTAACTCAACACCCCTGAACAAGCACCCATGCTGGAGAGGCACTGGTTGGGATGCGAGACAGAGAAGTGGTCCCTGAAGCTTGCGGGATTCGGGGAGGAGCCCCCCACGAGGCTCACTCTAGGCCGAAGGGCTTTCCCACACCACCCGTGTAGCGTTAAGTAGACTCTGGTTTCCCTCTCCACACCGTGGGACCACGGCATCGCAGATGCCAACGAGAGGATGAAGCGCGACGGGCACTTGGATGGAAATTACAAAGTCAGTGGAAATGGTCCGCAGGATGGAGAGGAAGGAAGAGCTTAGCGAGGGCCCACGGGAGGCACCAGGCAGCGCGGGCCGCGTTCACACGGACACATGAGGCAAGCAGCAGCAGGTGGGTGCAGGCCCCGGAGAGACAGCCAGGGAGGCCGTCTGGCCACCGCAGGGCTGGGGCGGGCACTCCAAAAGGGCCTTCAGCATGCCGCTGCGCAAGGGACAATGATCTCCGCAGCACATAAGGAGTCAGAGCTTTCTGAGCAGCAGGATGGAAGAACTTTCAAAACGGAAAACAGTTTCTTTCCTACCTAAGAGGATGCGGTTACTTTCTACTCACTCTCGACCTCTGCAACCACCCCGGGGAAATCTTGCTTGTTCTCAATTAGCACTCTTACAAAGGCGATTCCCCCAGACTGCATCGAAGTCCTACATTCTTAATCACCTGAACATTCCACCGCCCAGTCCGTGAAGTCCAAAAGCCCTAAACTTCACTTTGACTCCAGCACTCCGGCCTCCCCCAGCGCTGGCCCCTCAGAGCCCGGCTGCTCTGGGGGTTACTCCTGCAGCAAGCACCCTCTTTACTTAAGGGGGCTGCAGGGAAGCGTGGAAGGCTGTGGGCTCCCGCCTCGGCCATGCTCCTGACCATCCCAGGCCAGCCAGGTGAGCTGCGTGAGCCGACAACTCTCCAGGCCAGCGTCTTCTCGCCTGCAAGATGTGGCCGTGTCATCGCCTACCTCTCAGGGGCGCGCTGGGAAGACTGGATGGAGAACTTCTGCGGGCTACTCGTGTGGCGCCAAGCGCCATGGAGAACAGTGGGGGGGCGGTGAATGGTCAAGAGCAAGGTCTCTAAAGCTGGACTGCCTAGGCCAGGCCACGTGTTTCCACACCGTTGACTGCTGTCTTGGTTTACTCACCGAGAGCTGACACGCTGCGCCATCTGCTCCCTGTTTACAGACTGTAAACGCACGTCCTTCCAGTAACGCCTTCCCTGATCACAAGTGACAGTCCTCCCTTCCAAGTGCTTGGCAGCTTTGTGTGTGTGTGTGCCAAGCAGGTACCTGGCACCTTGTAAGCCCTCTCTCATCGTCATTTAAATACTTTGTTACTTTTCTTCTCTGAATCTTAATTCCACACTACATTTAGTGCCACTCCTGCGCAGGGCTTCCCTGGTGGCTCAGCTGGTAAGGAATCTGCCTGCAATGCAGGTTCGATGCCTGGGTCGGGAGGATCCCCTGGAGGAGGGAATGGCAACCCGCTCCAGTATTCTTGCCTGGAGAGTCCCATGGAGGGAGGAGCCTGGCGGGCTACAGACCCGGGGCTCGCACAAAGTCAGACACGCCTGAGCACCTAACACTCCCCTCTTCCCAGGGGCATGCACCAGAAGCCCCCGCTGCCCTGTCAGGCGTGGCGGCCCCTGTGGCAGGACTCTGCTCGTCCTCTGGACCACGGACGCTGGAAGCCAACCTCTAACTGCGCAAGGGTTAAAGGACAGCTCCTTACCTTTTTGCTTCTCATGTAGGAAAGGCGGCCCTCGTGCGCATCGGGGTAAGTGCAGAAGAGATACGTGGTGATGGCGTGCTTCAGGAAGGAGTCGCCAAGCATCTCGAGCCGCTCCAGGTTAAATCCATCGCTAGCGTTCGAAAGGGTCAAAGCCTGAAGAATGAGCCCGGGGTTGGGGCCAAGCGTCCTGGAGGAGTAGCCAGGAGCAGGGCTCTGCTCAGAAGCCGTCCTGTCCGGGGGCGCCTCCCCAGTCTCTGCAGTACCAGGCACGGCGGCTGTCACGGGACTTCCATCTGAGGTAGATGTGTTAGCATTTCCATCAAGGTATTTATTACTCAGTAGAGTACATTCATCGCTGGGCTTGGGCTGGTTCTCGTAATTGTATAAATTCTGAATGGGATATGAGGTAGTTGGTTGTACAGGTATTTCCTGCTTGTAGTAATTCAGATGGTTTCCTTGGCAAAAGTCTCTGTTAGCTAAATCGTAACTGCCATTGGCAAGACTTTTATTGTAAGAAAGACCATTAATTGCTGTCAGATCTGTTGAAACTTCAATTTGGAGCTTACCAGGGGACTCGCTGAACAATGTTCTGCAGTTCACAGACATTTGGTCATGATTTTCTAGAGAGGAGGTTCTATTAGCACCTTGATGTGCAGCATTTTCAGGGACGACAATTGTGCTATGCTTACAGTAATTCTCATTTTCAGCTGAAGAGGAGTTAGCAATTGAGATGAAAGATTTGCTGTCGATAGATTTTTTCCACCCGAAGTCTAAGTTAGGGTATCTGCAAAGACATTTTTTATAACTTTTCATCAGACCCTTCAAAGAGGCTAGGCTTAGAGTAAGCACAATCTGAGTAAAGGTTAGATCAGTATAAATATATTCCTACCTTAGAAGAGAAATAAGGTTCCAAGACAGACATCAGCACTACTGGGAATTCTTCACAACATAAACCACACAGTGGGACATGGCTCTCTGCACTGGTTTATTCCCAACCCAGCAGCACTGTGTGGGGCTGAGTTCATGAAGCCTGGGGTCAGCCTAGCAGACCCAGGGCTACAGACTGCATGTGCTGGGGCTCTAGGCCAGCAGGGTGACTAGCTGGGGAATTTCGAGTAATTTACTCAATGTCTCTGTACCTTAGCTACCATCCCTGGAAGAGGAACCAATAATTCCTACCTCACAGGATTGTCCTAAAGATGAAATCATCTAACATAAGCTATAGTGCTTAAACCAGTGTTTGACGCTGTAGTAAGTGACCGGTACTATTACAAAGTTCCTCTATTCCTAAACCAGCTTGCTCTTGCCAACTGGATAACCAAAATAAATTTAAGTCATTAAACCAGTAATTTCCTTACAACGCAGAGACTTGACTAGTGAGAAGAAAACAACTGAAGACAACACACTGAGGCAACTGCTAACTTTAACATGTATCTGATTTATAAAAGAGGAAGAGCCTTAAAATGTCAGCCCTGGGACTAACAACTCTCTTCATTTTTACCTGAACTGCCACCACTGAAAAGGGAACGACTGGTTTTGACCTTAGGCTCTCCTCTCCCTCTGAGCATGGGCAAACAATCACTCAATATACAGATGTTCACTTAGCAGTCAAATGATGCATCTATTTCAGGTATTAAATATATATCCACATTTTCTTTCCAATCTTTTAAGAAATTATTCTACATAAAATTAAAACGTGAACTGAAGTCAGTGCTTTCTGCAAACGGGATTTCATGAGCCGTCTTCTTTCTGACGCACGGCACAGGCGTACCTAAAGTCCACAGGAAGTGATCTGACTCCCACACCAGCATCGCTGGCTGTCTGGGCCCTGAGCTCCTCTGCAGTCAGAAGGCAGTGAAGGCGGTAAAGGATGCTGGGGAGACAAACGGCTTTTCTCCACAGTGATGCTGGAATTGGATGTATAGCACAGAGTTCTGGAACTAGTATCTGTGAATGAGCAAAACGTGGCTAAATGTAAATTGTAGAGAGGTAAATATAAAGCAAGCACACAAGAGAATAACAATGAAACTTAAAAATCAGTTTCACTGAATAAAGACAAAAATCAGAAACACTAGCCAAATCTTATTTTTTAAAATGTTTTAAAAAATAGCTCTTTAAAGAAAATGGGATTTATCCTAGGATTTCATGATATAATTGCTACCAGTGGACCAAGCATTAAAAGCCAAACCTCTCATCACGCTTACCAAAAAGACATTCATTGTGTTGAGGTTTGACAGAAACAACAAAATTCTGTAAAGCAACTATCGTTCAATAAAAAAATTAATTAATTTTAAAAAAGGCACAAATGAAGTTGTATGCCACATTAATTAAAGCAGAACAAAACTGAAGGGCTGGGCAACTTCTAAAACACTCACAAGTCACTCAATTCACTTGGTAAACATAAAACTCAAGCATCTTTCAAAATGCTGTTATGCTAGTGACAATGAACTCGCTACCTGTTTATTCTGCAGGCTTTCCCACTTGGCTTTCCTCTTCTCAGCACTGCTTAGAGGAAGAGCTTTCCCCTTCTGATTCAAATGGCGAGGTGTCAAAAGATTAAGTCTAGAAAAATTTCAAAATAATCTTATCAAACAGACAAAAACAAGTTCACTGTGACAGCGGCTCTACGACTTCAGGGCAGCTCACTGGAAGAGCTCATTCACACTGCAGACCCTGCGCCAGACTCTGGGCAAGTGTGTGCGCCAGTGGCCTCCTGAGCTCAGGGCCTGCACACCGGTGGGCCGCGGGACCACAAGCCTCCACATCTGCCCGCCGACCTCAGGAAACAGCAGCACAGGTGCAATCCGAGTGCCTTACCGTGAAGACGTGTGGTCCACGTCCAGCAGCGGCTGGTTGAGATTGGTCAGGTCAAGGTTGTACTTTGTTTTATAGTACTCTGCAAAAGTTTCATACTCGGGGGAAGGAAATTTACTCAGGGGGGTAAGATCAGTATACACATCAGCAACATAGAATCGATGAGGCTGATCAAAATTGCGGTATCTAAAAGAGAAAAACAAGTTTCCGTGACCTTCTGGTTTAAATCAACTATTCTCAAAACACAAACTGTTTTTAATATGAAAGTGCAAGTTACGATTTTAAAGTAAGCGTTCCAAAGGTTAAAAACATATAATAGCAATGACACTTCAATTCTAACTGATACTTTCCAAGTGAATTTAAGTCAAGAGGAACTATATTTATATCAGTGAAAACCTGACTCTTCATTCTCTCCTATTTTACACGTCATCCTTGTTCTAAATACCTATACTTTGATAACACATGAAAGCCAAATGGCTCCTTTTGTTGCTCGGTCGCTAAGTCGTGTCTGACTCTTTGCAACCCCAGGAGCTGCAGCACGCTAGGCTCCCCTGTTCATCACTGCCTCCCAGAATTTGCTCAGAATCATGTCCGTTGAATGAGTGATGCTATCTAACCATCTCATCTTCTGCCATTCCCTTCTCCTGTTGCCTTCAGTCTTTCCCAGCACCAGGCACTTTTCCAAAGAGTCTGCTCTTCACATTAAGTGGTCAAGATATTGGAGATTAAATGGCTCCTTTAAATATCTCTAATTTCATCAATATAAACAGTATAGAAAACTTTCAATATCCAAGCAACCAAGTAAATATTTTATATATTACTAACACTAAACATGAAAGATTCTTGCCCCACAATACGTATGCTATTGTACCATTTCTGATATTGACAGGCTGGTATCAACTAACATTTAAAACATGGCATTGAGGTGCAAAGTGAAAAAAGAAAAAACAAAAACAGAACAAAATCCAAAGACAACTGCAGCCAGTATTTTAATTCTTTTAAAATTGTGATATTTAATCTTAATGCTCAAAAACTCTATCCTCTAAATTTTTACCCAAAAGGTGGCACTAGTCGTAAAGAACCTGCCTGCAAATGCAGGAGACATAAGAGGCTCGGGTTTGATCCCTGGGTCTGGAAGAGTCCCCGGGGAAGGGCATGGCAACCCACTCCAGTATTCTTGCCTGGAGAATCCCAGACAGCGGAGTCTGGTGGGCTATGGTCCACAGGGTCACAGAGAGTCGGACACAACTAAAGTGACTTAGCACACATACAACAAAGCATTGTAATTAACAATTTTCACTGCACTTAATAACACTATGCCTTTCAATGATTTTAATAAATTGTTATTTATAATCAAATTCTTTAAGACTGTGGGGATTAAAAGGATGGAGGTTTTACAAAGAAAGCCTACCAACATCATTTAGATGATCGGGCCTTCACAAAGTAAAATCCCTTCACCAACAGCATTTCCGGCTTTGTTTTTATGTAAGTAAACTGGGGAGCACAGGCCTGTCACTAAGAGATACCTAAATTTTCCACTGGCCACATCAATGCCAGAGTCAGCCCACCACATGGCCCATGTGAACAGGGGGAATCACCTCCACCAGGTTCAATTCCTGGGTTGGGAAGATCCCCTGGAGAAGGAAATGGCAACCGACTCCAGTGTTCTTGCCTGGAGAACCCCAGAGATGGAGGAGCATGGTAGGCTATAGCCCATGGGGTCGCAAAGAGTTGGACACGACTGATCGACTTCCCTTTCTTTCTTTCCACTTGACACCTTACCTTGGAATGATAACTGCATCTTGGTAATCTTCTAATTTGAAAACAAAGGGAGTTTCTTTTGAATACTTTGTGCTGGGAATGCCTATTCGAGCTTCAGATTTCTCGATATCTTCCATGAATTTAAAGTCAATGTCCAAAGTGCTGGAGTCATTAACTTAGGGAAGAAAAAGATCTTTTAGCTTGTTAAAATATAATAATACAGGTAAGACCCTCCCTCAAGCTCTACCTTCATTCCATGTGCCTAATTGAGAGTTATCAAAGCGATTTCTGTACTATATTCAGTTAAGCTCATTGTTAAGCAACACACTCATTTTTTAGCTACTATACAGACAACGCTTTAGAGTCTGGATCCTTCTTACCAACATTAAGAGGTAGAACACAGTAGGCTGAGTCCGCATCTGTGGGTTTAAATTCTAGTGCAGGTTTTTCAAGCCGAAGAATATGTGAGAATATATACTGGTGAAGTCTTGTGATCAACTCAAGCATTTGCAGAGATAACGTGAAACCAGACTTCTTCAACTCAATAGATATGGTAACCTCTCCAGAGCGTGTGTACACAGGAAAGTGCGGGATCTTCGGAGAAAGAAAAATAAAGCCCAAGGTTAGCCAAGATTTCAGTCCATTATAAACAGTTAACTTCAGAAGAGGAATGATGCTTTCTATCAGGGGAACAGAAGAGACACTTCCAATTTTAAAATAGTGACCATCTTGAGGTAACAAAAGACAGTTACTTTTAAAAGTCGCTTTTTCTGTTTTTTTTTTTAAAAAAAAAACACAACAACGACAGTCCAACATAAAAGGTCACCACGAAACGTCCACCTGAGGTATGGGCTTGGCTGTCAGTATTCCAAAGCATCTTGTGGTGTCCTCAGGGGGGTAGAGCTTCCGCCTTCTGAAGTTGAGCTCATCAGGTAAAGGTGTCGTCAGGACCATTCCGATCACGTACAGGTAACAGGGCTGACCGGGCTTGGGATAGCTCTCCCTCAAACATTCTGGAATCTAGGAGTGGAAAGAAAAATATAAGCAATAAGTCCAAGTGTATTCACCTTTTTTCCAGATGTTGGCAAGAAACCAAATTTTTTCCCTGGCTTTACTAAGAAGAGCTGATGAGAGAAAACTAAGACCCAAGGCAGGAGACCTCCTCATTTACTTAACCTCCCTGGAGAGGCAGCACTATTGGGTGTGCAAGAATACACAAAACCATCAAACACCGCAGGGTCTTTTAATACAATACTATTCATTTGACGTGGGCTTCCCTAGTGGCTCAATAGTAAAGAATCCACCTACCAATGCAGGAGACATAGGTTCAATCCCTGGGTCAGAAAGATTCCCTGAAGAAGGAAGTGGCTACCCACTCCAGTATTCTTGCCTGGGAAATCCCATGGACAGAGGAGCCTGGTGGGTTAAAGTCCATGGGTTGCAAAAGAGTTCGAACACAACTTAGCAACTCAACAGCAACATTTTATTTGATCTATTTCTTTTGACTAGAGAACAAACTCTTTTCTTCCCTAGGTTTCTTAGTCTTTACTCACTGTTGAATATCAGAAAATAAAAGTAGCGAAGTTTTTAAAAATCCTACATAATCCTGAAACTCACAGATAACCTTTAGTAACACTGTCACATACCATATCATCTTCCAGACTTTTCTGGAATAAATGTATACATTCCAGAATAAACGCACACAAATATATACAGATACATATTTTTCATTACAAATGGAACCACAAAACAAAGACCGTATTATCGATTTTTACCTCTGGTTACTGCAATGAGAATATCTTTCAGGGTCAATACAAGTCAGTACTATTTTTAATGGCTGTCTGATTAAAGGAGTAACTATGACTTAAACTAAACTAAGTTTCTAAACTTCCAGTATTCATTTAACCCCATCCAATAGTCTTACAGTTTCCAAGGCTCAATAATATAAATAATTACATCTATAGTTACAAGGTGCAGAAACACCAGCTAAGAGATACAGTTACTAGAGTATCAGACAGTGCAGAATGCACCTATTAATCACACAGGACGTAAAGCAGTACTGTGCTTCTCAGAACACTTATCAGTGGTAACATTTGTCACAGGAAACTAGCCCAAGAACCTCGAGGGTAATGTCAGAATAGGAAAACTGGATATGAGAAAATAAGCAGTTCAGAAAATTGGATAACTTAATTCCTGATTTTTGCAAAAGTGACATGATTTTGAATCTTGAAAATGCTTAGCTAGGGGCAAACTTTTTTAAAAAAGTAAAAACGCAATAAAACTGCAAAAAATAAATAAAAAGAATCATATTTAAGCTAACATCAAAGTACATAGCAAATTTCTGCTTTAGTTTGGGGGTTTAAAAATAAGGTGAAAATATTGACTAATATTTTGTAAATAAGTACTCCAGCCCCGTATGGTTACAGCCACAGATCCATCTAGACGCGACATGCTGGAAAAGCTGACTGTGACTCGTCAGGCCACACCCTGACTCCTGACAAGTCGCCGGGCTGACACCTGCTGCACGCCCCTCACCCTGAACGGGCACGTGCCTGTTTTATCACACACGCCCTCGAGGTCTCAGGCCGCAGTGTAAGGCAGAGCGAGGACCTGGCCACTAAAGTGGATGAAACAAAGAACATCTGTTTAAATGACATTAATTCATTATGGATAGAATGTGATAAATAAACACAAGAGTCCTTTTGACAAAAAAAACAAACAGCGATGTCTGCAGGGAGAAAGAGCACATGTACATGTGACAGCGAAGGGGCTGCTGTCAGAGGAGCTGTGAACGAGGCAGGGGAACACGCTGAGACCCACAGGGTGGGCTGAATCACACGTGTTTGGGAAGCCACGCAAAGGAATCGGGACCTGGTACAGCAAGCAACAGAAAGTCAGAAAGGCTAGATTCGTATTTGGCTCTAACCAATACTAACTGCTTTTGGGTAGCACTGTCTTCGTTTCGTGGAGCCTGGTCTTCCTGGAACACTGGTCTCTTCTTCATCGTGTAAATCCAGCTCTTCCTCGTATTTAACAGTCTCCTTCCCAACTGGCATCAAATGGTCATCCAGTTCACCTAAGAAATGTGAAGAGAAGGAATGTGATTTTGTAATAAAACACTCAATCCTGATTTTGCCTAATTAATCAGTGGGTCATCCAGGGCAGCTCTGCCTTAGGAAACAACTGGACAAATCACGAAAACTAAAGCATCTGTGCTTTTAGCAACAGAAAAGTAATCAGATGTGATAACTGAAGGCAAAGTCTATTGTGACATTCATATATCCAGTATGATGAGGACTATAAATTCTGTTTTAAGACTCAAAAATAAAGATGTGCAAACAGGAAAACAGTATCAGATCATCCCTTTACGAATGCCACTGGAAGACAAGTCTTTCATTTGTACACAAATATAGACTAATTTGAGAAACCGATACATTAAAACACAAATGTTCACGATTCATTTTTAAAGAAGCTTTCATTTGTACACAAATATAGACTAATTTGAGAAACCGATACATTAAAACACAAAACATAAATGTTCACGATTCAACAGTCAGAAGACATTATTACATTTATATATTTAAAAGGAGTCAGAAATGAGAGCAAATAAATCACAGCTGCTCAGCTGTGAAAAACAGAACTCCTCCATCTTACAGGGTCTTCAAGTTACATCACACTTACATCTATCCTCCCCCAAGCACACCAATATCAACGCGTTCACAGCCTGCAAAACCCTGGAGACCCATAAAGCCCTTGAGGTGCTTTTGTTTTACAATGTTTTTAACTTTATTTTTATCTACATGTGCTTTTCACACACTCTTACCAATTTTGTGCAGTTTTTCACAGCAAATGAGAGCCACAACTCTTTCAGCCAATCGAATGCAGCTCATTGGGGGACCCTGGAAGTAACCAAAAAAACATGTCCACAGTATATGCATGGAGCTGGAGTATTGTTGGCGCATAAAACACAGATGAAACCTCTGCCCTGGTATCCTTAAAGCTGAAATTTACCAAAGTTCTTAACTGTGAAAAACATCAGCCAGTTTAAAAAAATCCTATTGTCTATATTTGAAAAGCTATCTTTAAAAATCCTGCCCAGTAAAACCTACACCAGTTATCATTAAGAGCTTACAATCTTGATGAATTTAAATTTCAGTAAGAATTTAGTGTATCAGCATTGAGACCAAGGACAGCAATTGTATAAAGGTATATTTTCCAATCAACAACAAAATAACTAGAACAGCCCAACTATATTTAATGAATTCTGTGTCACTGTAAGGATCTAAAGCCACAACTGAATGATGCTGACAGAAATGTTTAGAGTAGTAAGATTTTAAAGGAATCTTCAGAGGTCTTCTAGCCTAATTCAGAGTCTACAAATTACATATATATAGTCTATTGAAGACTCGAACATGTAGTTGACTACAAAAGAGATTTCTAAATGTACTTTTTAAAGTAGATTTAAAGCCAAATTTACCTATAACTCGCAGAGCCTTAGAGAAGCTGAAAATAAATCTGTTAACGACATTAACTTTAAGGCACAATCATTTCTTTTTCTAAACTTACAACAATGGAGGCTCGAAGAGGTGAGTTAATTGGCAGATAAAGAGTTGAATAAAATGTACCATCAGGCAACTCTCGGGTTCTACATTTAGGAGCCAGATGAGTAAACGGATCACTTGGTAATCTAGCACAGTATCTGTGGGGGGAAAAAAAAAAGAAATGGTGATGCTGAGTCTACAACTGAGAAAAAATCTGATATTCACATTTGATTTTTTATGTTCCTCTTCCCCTCTACTGGATAGGTATTTATATGTGTGGTTTCAGCATCACTGCTTTAAACTTTCAATAAGACGGACTAGCAGGTTTATATATATATATATATATATATATATATATATATATATATAATACAAACTCCAAGATAACAATCCGTATCTGTGCTGTCCAACAGGGAAGCCACTGAGCTCTTGAACTGCGGCAAGGGCAGCTATGGAACTAAACTTTTAACTTTAATTTCTATTAAAATTGATACTTGAGTGTCAACAGCTGTATCTGTCTAGTGCTATGCCTGGACAGTGCAGAAAGCACTGTTCAGAATCCATGAAGGGAACAAACTGCCAGCGTTTGCTCCTTAGGATCACCAACAGATTACGGGGGCCTGTGCGAGGCAGGCATCAGGGGTGGGCCGGTGCTCACCCAATGAGGGCAGGCGGGCAACCGGGCCGCCCCACAGCAGCACAAGGAGCGCGGGGCAGGAAGCCGGCTCTGAGGGAGCTTAGCCCGAGCAGGGAGGGTGCTGGGACAGGAAGCCAGCCTGGCGGGGAACGGGATGCAAACAATGAAGCCACAGACGGGCCGCAACACTGCGAGGCCAGGACCCTTGTAGCGAGGGCACCTCCACACGGTGGCAGCCCCCCAGGGGAGGGAGACGCTCCATATGGGGAGCCTGAACAGGAATTAAATCCGAGGACAATGGGAATCAGATTTCTCACTATTAAAAAAGCCAGCCAGGGACAAAAAGAGGACAGCAAGAACAAACCGTCTGGTGTCATAGTAAAACTGGAGCTAATCACAGGTAGTCAGGTACAGACATAACGCATGTGAAAAGGCATGAATGTATTTTCCAGCTCCACTTGCTGAACAGCCTGGTAGCAATAATACTCCAGAGGCAACGAACACACCTTGGTTTCTAAACACAACTCATTCTCCACTAACAGGAGCCAGGACCTTTTGGAGAAATAGCCAATATCTAGCCTGGGGCAGGGAAACTGTGAGTCTAGAACATCTTGTGTGCCATAAAATACAGAAATGTCCAGAGAATAATGGTGACATGTTAAAAAGACACTGAAGTTACACCGAAGGGGTCCTCACCAGCCAAATTTCACACAATTTTCACCTCAAAATAAGAAATGAGAGTAAAAGACTAAAAATGAGCAAAACAGGAGTCCATTAGTTCACACTGGATAAGAAAAAATAAAAGGAACAAATAAACAGAGAAAAGAGAAAGCTCTTTCTCATAGTAAAATGGCAACTAATAAATGCTGAAAGAATTAGGGAGTCAGAAAATTCCCATTTGGAAAACATCACAGAAATAATCAATCCAGGCAAGAAATATCAATGGGTGAAAACTGAGGAGAGGGATAAATTTTATATAATCGCAAAATATCTCCCCATGAAATACTCAAGAATTATAAAAAGGAAAAAGGAAATTTTACAGCAGAGAAAGCTGGCAGACCTTACGCAAGTGACGAAAGTCACCACCATCATCAGAGGACAAATCAACACTAAGTGACCCAGTTAGAATGTAAGGAATCCAGCATCACTTCAGTGACGTGCTGGCCAAAAACATATAACCGGGGTCCCGTCATGAGAAAATACCAAATAAACCCAAATTGAGAGGGAGACGACACAATGACTGGCCTGCCATCTTCTAAACGTTCAAGGTCTTCAAGTCCAAGAAGGACTGAAGAAAGGTGCCAGGGTGAAGCAAGCCAGACAGATGAGGAAAACGAGTACAGCCCTGGGCTGGACCCCTTCCCTCCAGACAACATTCTTGGGAAACCTGAATGGGTCTTCTCTGGGTGTTCTTTGCAGTGTTCTTGCAATATTTTAAAGTTTAAAACTGTTCCCAAATAAAAAGTTAAAAAGAAACGCTTACATTTTCTGCTCCTATTTTGCCTCTGCATGAAATCTATCCTGATACATAATCTAGCTATGCAGCTGCTTTCCTTAGTTCTTAAAAATGTTATCACCAAATCAAGACAAAGTATTGATAAAACAGCATGTACTTTTAAAAAAAAAAGTTTCAAGTCTTCCATTCCTGCTAAAGGAAAATTCAATGGCTGCCAACACTTGACACAAAACAAGTTTCAAGATTTAGAAAAGAACAGTGAGCATTGCAAAATTAATTTCAAAGCAATTAAAATATGTATGGATTCATTAGGTCAGGCTTGCCAATTAGAAGGGAAACATTTATTTCTGCATGATACTAGTTTTGCATTCTGACAAAAAAAAACAATGAACAGAAAAAAGCAACTTCTTTTTCTTTCTGTCACTGAGGCATCACAGGCCATAAATGGAGAGATTGGTTATTGCTTGCAGATGGTGAACAACACATTACTTACAGATTTAGACGAAATCTCATGATTCTCACTGGTTTGCTACCACGTGGCCTGTGGCCGTACCTGTTGACGTGCCCAATGGCCGTGTTGATTGTGACGCGGGGACCGTCCTCAGACCTCAGCACATACGGTGGGAAAATATCGTCATCATCCACCACGGGCTCCGTGTCGGCCTCCCCGGTATCAACCGACTTGGAACATTTGTTTCGCAAGATCTGAACAGTTTTAGAACAGAATTTATGAGAACAAATGCCTTTCCTGCCACTAGCTGTCTGCCTCTGAACCTACGGAAAAGCTCCCTTGACATGAAACATTTCTCTCTCCTAAACACATACCTCAATACTCCATAGCTACATGCTGCAGACAATTTTCCCCACTGCATCCTTCCCAGCTCCAGTCACATGAAGATGTTCCCATACAGGGAACAAGACACTGAACTACACCTACCTACCAGCACGCACGTGATCGCCAGTCTTACATGAGTACCTGGGCTGTGACATCACTCTCAAACCACTCCACCACTCAGTCAACTAGGACGACACCATCCACATGAACAGTATACTTCCTAAACTTCCCCAATAACCTATATGGCCATTTTCACTGTGATTTTATTGTGAAATACTGCTAGCTCTGTGCAATTACTCTCGACTGTCTAATAATGTACCCACTGCACACCTTTGTTGAGACTAGTCTCTGAAGATACAACTGTTTTTATTATTTCTGTATGCACAGGAGCAACCTGCAGATAACATGTGACTCTTACCTTTTCAATAGCTTTGTATGTTTTAAGGTCTTCTTCAAAACCCTTTATTTTATCCGTATCTGCTAACATCACATAATTAGAGATGGGTGCCCTAGCTCTTCCCTTAGACTGAACGTAGGATCGATACTCCGTGGGCAGATCGAAACGAACCACCAAGTTGCATTTCGGTATGTCAACGCCCTCTTCCACAATACTTGTTGCAATGAGCAGGTTGGTTTCATGTGCTCGAAATTTCCTAAGTACCTGGAAAAAATCCGCCAAGAAAAGGAATTCTAAAAAACTTTCCAAAGAAAAGAGCATAATAAAATTAAGGGACAACTGTAATTTGTGACAATATTCTGAGCACTCTTAATCCAGGCCAGGCTAAAAACAATGACAGTATCACACAAAACTCGAGATGCCATGAACATTTGGGCAAAGAAACTCTGATTTAAAGACATTTTCAGCTGAACATAACTTGAAAAACATCAAAGTGCCTTTCTACTTTAGAGAAGCACCCATGGACAAGTCATAGTCTTCCGGCTAAAGACACTGGCTTCTTTAATAACCACCAGAGTGACCAAACGAATTCACTTCTGAAATCCTGTTGATATTCTGAGCCTCCCTATGGGACCTATGTCTGTGAGCCTATGCCAACATCCCTCCAAAGATGTCAAAACTCCATCACTAAAATCCCTAAATCACTTGGAATTAAAAACTACAAGCAAAGCATCATTTATTTTCTGACATCTTGGGACATACTTAATTTAAGGGATCAGAAATGATTTTTTTAAGTGAAAAATTTTTTCATGCTAGATTTCAGATAACATCATTTCCCAATTCAGCGTAAGTTAAATAAGAAATTAAGCTGGGTTTTAGACTGATCTGTCAAGACTCTGGCTACTGAATTCCCCAAACTTGGAGTATTATCAAAGAAAAATGACTTCAACATGAATTATTCTGCTACTTTTAACTTAAACAACAAATTTTACATAAAAAGTTTTTATTTGCAAGCCAGGAACACTATGTTAGGTTTTATCATCTTTACAGTGCTGTTTCCTATATCAAATCTTGAATAAAAAGCATGAAAAAAAATTAAACCAAAAATCTTTAAAATATATTGCTGTTTTTAAAATAGTAAACCAAGGTAGGGCTTTCAATAGCAAACAAAACACGTTCTAGGAAAAAAATTTCAGTTTGTTGCTTCAGAATCGTAAAAAGTCAGCAAGGGTTATATTTACACGAGCTGTCTTCGTCTATGAAACGTAGCTGTGTGTCCTCCGCCCCATAAAGGAAAATAAAATGGCTGATGGCAATTAAGACACAGAATTGATTTACCAGACAAGTATTCTAATTCTACACATGAGAATCATTGTTCAGCTACCTCAAGGGAAACGGTGAGTCTCTGTTTATGAGGACTCTATATCACCAAAAACATGCAGAGGAACTATAAAGAGATGGGGTTCCTATGGGCAGAGTTTATATATATATGTTCTGAAAACTGTTACTGTAAAACTATTTTCACTTAGCTTACCTCTTCCTGTTTTCTGAATTCCGCTTCCATCTGTTTGTTCCGAGGCTGATTCTTTCCGATGCCATGTCCAGTTATAAAATTGCTGCTGATGTAAGCCAGCTCTGGATCTTGTTTGCCAGCTTCCTTTATCAATCTAAGAAAATTATACACATTTGGAAGTTAAGCATTGCTGAGAGGAAAAAATTTAAACTTTTGTTTGTAAGGTCTCTCTGAAAATGGGAATACAGGTATTTTTTTTTTTGCCAACATACCTAACAAAATAGCCTTGGTAATTTTTTTCCCCCAAATAGCTTAAAAAGAAATCACCGTCACTCTTCTCTGTGTCGATCTGTACACCGAAAGCTTAGAACACCAAAGACAGGGTTGATTTACACAACACGGGTGAACGAAATGGTCACAGTCCCTCAGACTTTTTAATTTGGCAGTAATGAGCTTCACAGAAATGTGGCCTGGGAAGTGACAGCGCTAGGCAGAGAGAAACATGGACTCTTCACCTGTTCTGGCTTTAGGCCAAGACTTATAATGAAAAAGCCACACACACTCTCTCTCTGAAACACTGTTCCCTAAGCGCACACACAACTTGCCGCAGTGGTCAAGACAAGTGGCCCTGTCTCTATGACCAAGCTTGCGGAGAGTTAAGTACCAAACACCCCAAGGGAAACTTCATTCTCCTCTCTCTCCATGTAGTAAGTCCTAGCTGCGCATGCAAAGGAAGAAGCGTGTTATTTCTGTTCGGTTTACCCCAGTGCCCTGTCCCCCTGGAAGGAGGGCTCCAGGGCAAGGAAAGCCTCCATCCACTGATAAGCATCTCCATTCCCAGCACTTCGTGGCCCTGCGGCCGGCCACTGACCACAGTTCTGCATGAAAGGCCACTGAGCTTCGGCCCTGCAAGGCTAAGAGAGCTCGCCTCCCTGCAAGGCTGAGATAACTCCCCTCCCATCCCAGCAGGAAAGAGAAAAGGCTCTTGAGCTCGTCCCCCTTCCTGCCTGCTCCCCTCTATCAACCCAGAAAGCTTGTCCCTGAAAGCGGGCCCTTGGCTACAAAATGAAAAAGAGCGACAGGACAGGCTCACGTTACATGGGTGCAGAAGGTTAACAGTTAGTGTTGCCATTACAGCTATTTTGGAAATATCCACATTGGAAAACTCAGCACAGAGGATAAATGGTTCCACACCTGACCTAAGTGATCCCATATGGTTCCTCTGAAGTCAGACAACATAGCACAAATTCCTAATAGAAAATTGCATTTTTAAGTCAAACCATTCTTTTTTTTTTTTTAATAAGTACATGAAACAGACTAATATCAAAGTCCTGGGAGAAACCTTGAGTGGCCATCTAAAATATCTTCCTGCCTCCAAATCAGTGAAACACTGGCATGCCTAGGTTAGTTTAAGAGTCTGCTCTACAGTTCAAATGCTTAAAATGTTCAAAATCAGAAAGTTCTTTAATATGTTCCAAGATTTGTTATTATGAACTTATGATGTCAGTAACAGAAAGCAGTGTTACACGCAAATTGCATGTCCCAACATCTAAAATATGAAATCAATTACTGTAGAAATAATATGTGCTTCCAAATTTTAGTTTATGTAAACAAGCATCAATTTGAACAAAACAGAGGTTTAAAAATGCATTTCCAGTTACTCCGAATTAGGCAGAGAATGTATTTTAATTTGCCTAAAATAATAAACCTGGTAGACTTCCAACTAGCTGAGAACTGGAAGCACGAAAAGCACTTTTATTTCTCCTTAATGAGACCCTCGTCAGGACTGCGGTCAGCAGAAGAAACAAGAAGCACATTAATAAACAAAGTCCCCTGTAAGCAGCAATTAAATGCTTTTACATACTTATGCTTACAATGTTTAAAAAGGAAAAATTTCTCCATCAGATAAATTTAAGGAATCCCTACAGACAAAGCTATGGGCTTCCAGAAAAACAAAACGAGGTCTACTGTTGTCACGACACTTGTATTAATAAGGACTACACTATCTGCCCAGAAATTTCACAGTACCACAGAACTGCTAGGATGGAATTTTGTTCCTTTTAATTTTATACTGAGTTTATGTGTGTTGTTTCACAAGCAAGTTGTCTGATAAAGAATGCTGTTCTCTATAGCACAGAGCTTCTCAGTCTCTAGCAAAGAAGTGATTGTTTTTTTCCTGTTTTCAAATTCCCCTGAAAACAGTATTTTTGTAAAATTCCATGAAAATTAACTAAGAAAACTTAAAAAGTATTAAAATTTAATGGCCAACTGTATAATATTCAGCAGACATAATTTACTCTAAAACCTAAAAGAGTTGGTGCTTACCCTCCATCTCTGTACCTTTCTCACCGTGGCCGGCACAGGCCCACACTGTGCGTGCACACAGCCTCCCCAAGTACAATGTCAGGCGGCAAGACTGTGGTTTTTGTATACAGTGTCTCTCACTAATGACTCAGTAAGAAAGAGAGGTATTATCACTATTTTATAGATGAAGATGTTGAGGCTTTAAAAAATGAAATAACTTGCACAGAATATACACCTAAAAAGTGAGTGAAGATAAAAAGAACCAGGAGCCCTCGGAGAAATGGCTGATTCCATGGCTGGAGCAAGAAAAACACAGGATAAGCCTGGAACACCCTGGCGTACCAGAAAGTCAGGCTCGGTTCAAAAATCAGGAGGATCGGGGCATGTTAAAAGGACATAGGCGCTAACCTCAAAGAGCCCCCAGTGGTCCAGGGTGAACTAACTTATAAAAAAACTAACCCAGCATCAGATCATAACCAAGGTATAAAATACACAAACATGAGTTCACAGTGATCAAAGAACATGAGTCAACAAATATAAACAGATAAATAGGATAAAAGAGACATGTTTTCCTTACAGAAGAATTTCAGTAACACACATAGAGAAGCCCCTCTCCAGGCATGAAGCTGAATTCCTCCCTCCCCAGGATAAACTAGCTTTGGTGACTTGCTTCCAAAGAATAAAGGAAGAAATAAGAAAAATAATAACTTCACAGTGGAGGAAGTTGGCAAGTGCAATCATAATCACGTGATGAAGTTTAACATCACCCACGATGTTCTGTGTCAAGACCACGAATCCCCCTAAGATAAAGCAACAAGAAGGGCACCTCATATCTGCTGCCTTCTTTCAAATGCTAAAACCCAGTCTAATCCTGAGAAAAACATCAGAGAAATTCAAACTGAGGGGCAGTCTACAAAATATCTGACCTGTCCTCCTCACGTCAAAGTTGTCAAAAACAAGGAAAGAACAAGACGCCATAAGAGACCAAAGGAGATTAGAGAAATAAAACAACTAAATGAACTCTGGTACACCTTGGATTAAAAAGAAGACATTAATGGGAAAACTGAGGAAATCAATAGAGTCTAGAAGTTAGTTAATGGTAATACACCAATGTTAGTTTCTTGGTTGCAACAAATGTACCCTGATAGGGTAAGATGTTACTGATATAAGACATGGGGGAAACCCAGAATGGGTATGGGGAACCGCAGTACATCCCTGCAACTTTCCTGTAAAGACAAAGCTACTGGGAAAAGAAAGGGGTAGGGGGATGGGGGACAGAGAGAAGACATCAACCCAGGTTTCTTCAATGCCAAAGTCACACAATACTAATAAATCACACAGTGAAAAGAGCTCTAGACTTGGAGAGTGGAACTCACTTTCTGCCACTTGATCCTTGAGTTATTTCAGAAAGTCACAAACTGTTATCTTCGTCATCTATGATAGAGTAAAAACATCTATCTTCTTCCCTCATGGAGTGTTCTGAAATTTTAAAACTGTATAAAGGTACCAGACATGAACAATGGACTGGTGCCAAACTGGGAAAGGAGTACATCAAGGCTGTATACTGTCACCCTGTTTATTTAACTTACATGCAGAGTACATCATGCAAAATGCCAGGCTGGATAAAGCACAATCTGAATCAAGACTGCAGGAAGAAATATCAATAACCTCAGATACACAGATGATACCACCCTTATGGCAGAAAGCAGAGAGGAACTAAAGAGCCTCTTGATGAAAATGAAAGAGGAGAGTGAAAAAGCTGGCTTAAAATTCAACATTCAAAAACTAAGATCATGGCATCCAGTCCCATCACTTCATGGCAAATAGATAGGGGAAAAAAGGAAACAGTGACAGACTTTATTTTCTTGGGCTCCAGAATCACTGCAAATGGTGACTGCAGCCATGAAATTAAAAAGATGCTTGGTCCTTGGAAGAAAAGCTATGACCAACCTAGACAGCGTATTAAAAAAGCAGAGACATCACTTTGCTGACAAGGTCTGTATAGTCAAAGCTGTGGTTTTTCCAGGAGTCGTGTAAATGGATGTGAGAGCTGGACTATAAAGAAAGCTGAGTGGCAAAGAATTGATGCTTTTGAACTGTGGTGTTAGAAAAGATTCTTGAGAGTCCCTTGGACTGCAAGGAGATCAAACCTGTCAGACCTAAAGGAAATCAGTCCTGAATATTCATTGGAAGGACTGATGCTGAAGCTGAAACTCCAATACTCTGGCCACCTGATATGAAGAACTGATTCCCTGGAAAAGACCCTGATGCTGGGAAAGATTGAAGGCAGGAGGAGAAGCGGGCAACAGAGGATGAGATGGTTGGATGGCATCACCACAATCAATGGACATGAGTTTGAGCAAGCTTCTGGAGTTGGTGACGGACAGGGAAGCCTCGTGTGCTGCAGTCCATAGGGTCGCAAAGTCAGACATGACTGAGCAACTGAACTGACTGATATAAAGGTAAATTATAGACGATAAAGCCCTAGATATATATGGCAAAAGAAAAACTATAAACCCAAGACTGTACACATACAACATTATATATAGAAGTAGCTATTTTTATTTTTGACTAGGAGAGTAGAAAACTGCCCATGTATTACAGTAGCTTCTACTCCCATGAAACTGTTTGCTGAAGAATGGTTTTTCCTCCCATTAAATTGATGGAAAGAAAGAATCTGGATTTCAGGAAGTTTTTCTAAGCTTATTAAAAAGCTTACTGGAACAAGACCTCTATTGTATATTTAATTAGCTGCCCATAAAGTAAACCCTCAAACCACTCCTGACTCATCATCCAACACTAAATTCCAGGCACATTTTATGAAAGTTGATCGCAATTAATCTGATCCTCAAAGTCAACAGGAAGTAACACTGATTTCTGATAAACCTTTTCAGGCTAATATTCCTTCAGTGGAAACCGGCACATCTCCATACTTACAAACACATGTAGAAAAAAGGGAAAAGGAAGAAAATGAACCCCCACTTCTCTCCAAGCCCCAGAAAATGTACTTAATTCTTAACCCATCCTGGATGGGGCACGGAGTCCGTCTAGAACTCGGCTTAGAACTATGCCAACATTAAACTTTTCTGACCCCAAAAATGCTTTTCCCCCATTCTAAAAAATAACCCAAGTAGTCGTGCACTCCCTGGACTGCCTCCTGGCAGTCTTCCCACTGTAAAGCACTGGTTTTTAGTGTTCTGTGATACCCAAGGGCATGATGATTATACAAAGAAGTGGAAACGAGGAGGCAGAATATCAGGATTCTAGAATTGTCTCTGCAATTGGCCAGCAATTTAACTCAGAGCAAGTCACTTTTCCTCCAGAGGCTTTCCTCTTTTTTTTTTTTCTTATAAGACTAAGTGGGTTGGATTAGTCAATGAAGTTCTTTTCCAGCCTTAAACTTCTGATTTCAATGTAATTCACTACCTAAAATTATTTTACTTCGTATCCATCATCAGGATCCGGCCCAACAACTGTGAAAACTTCCAGACTGAAAACCGCCAGATGACGACCCCAGAGGCCAATCTCGCGTTACTGAAGTACATTCTCAAGTCAGAAGCAGTTGTTTTTTTTTTAAAACCCCAAATTACCTCAGGAAACAAAGTTTAATTTCTCCTCAGAGATCAATACTTGCAGAAAAGGTTCTTAGGGATCAACTTTGGCCAATTACTAGATCTTATAGAAACAAGTAGTTTGAAGTACAAAATAAGGACTGTTTTTGGTCCTTACAAATAATACAGCATCCATCCACAAATCAAAAGAAATATACATTAAGTGACCATGTGACACAAATTTGAAGTGCAGCTCCTTGGTTGGGTCTATATTCAGGAAAAATACACTTCTACTGAAGGAGGTAGGGTGGAAATTTACAACCTAATTGGCATTCCCTGCCACCTTTGCCAGTATTCTCTGAATTCTTTCCTAACGTTTTTATTATCTTCTGATTCAGAAAATTTTAATATGTAGTCTATGAACCAATTCAAATTTCAAACCCAGTCGTTACATGCTTTTCACTGCAAACGTGCAAACTTGAATAGGCAATTGTTAAGGAAGAAAAGCTAACACAGAAAAACTGGCCACAGCAATATCCTGATAAAATTTATCCTAAGATCACCTGAAGGAGAAAGCGTTGTGTGAAATGCTCAAAATCACACCCAACACATGTGTGTGTGCTCAGTCGTGTCCGACTCTTTGCGACCCTGTGGACTGTAGCCCACCAGGCTCCTCTGTCCATGGGATTGCCCAGGCAAGAATACTGGAGTGGGTTGCCATTTCCTTCTCCACTAACACACCACAGTCACAGGTTAATAAATATCTGAACTAAATCTAACAGCTGAATACCGAACAAGGAAGGTTTACTTTAATGTCAACTTAATTTTTCTGTACTTGCACTTGATTTCGGATGGATTAGAAAAGATTAGCATCCTTTAAGAGCAAAACCTCAGTCAAGCGATTGTATATATAAACATGCTGCGATCCCAAGATAGCGTTACACCTGAATTCTGAGGATGGGGCCAAGGGGCTCTCCCCTAAGCCTTCTGCCCAGCCCTTAAAGCTATTACAACGTATCACTTCACAGAACAAAAAGCTGCCTGTTCTACTATGGGGGAAAAAATGTTAATCTCGGAGAGTTACCTGTTTAAGACCACGGCTGTGTATCTTCTTTCCACAAAAATAATTCCACACAAGATATTGGTAAACGGAGAAGGAAAATTTGTCTCTGGCTTTTCTTTCTCTTCAATCTCTTCGTCTTCCTCGTCATCCTCAGAATCACTCCAGGACACGTAATTATCCTGGTTCCTGTTATTATACCACTCCACGCTTTCAAACTGCTGCCGCTCGTACGGTTTGTACTTGCGGAGGATCTCGAGCAGCTTTATTACTTTAGGAGTGACAAACTTCAGGTCAAGGGAGGCAGGTGAGAAGTGCTCTTCACACAGGGCGTGGATTTTCCTTAGGAAAGTGTCTGTAAACAATAGAAACTTCCGGTGCAGCTCCTCTTGCTCGTGTTTGATGTATTTCTGTAGCTCTCTGACCATCATTCCAGCTACTTTATCAGCACACCAGGGTCCCAGGACAACCAGTACCGCACGACAGTCTGAGAGTATCTACAAAAAAAGGTAAAGACTCAAATGCAAAATAATACTCCTGCAGTATCTTCATATGGAGTCTAACTGGGATTTAAGCTGTCTTTACTCCTTCAAAATAAATTTACCCCACTAATATCAACACTGGGGTTCATTCCCCAAAGTTACGGAGAGGGGCCAGTAGTCTTTCCAAGCTCTACTTTTTCATACAGATGCCCAGAACCACCCTTCTGTTTTCCCCTGTGAAAATAATCAAATGACAGAAATCAAAAGATAGAACTGTATACGGTTAATAAAGCAACCTCAGAGCTGTGGTCGAAAGTACAACTGAGTCATTTACTTGCAGGTAAATATGCAAGGAACTACATAGCAGAATATATAGGTGTGTGTGCATACGCAGCAGAGTATGTCATTTTATTTTAGGTATCAAAGAAAAGCAAGATGGTTTTCCTTGAACTGTATCTGTGCTCCAGAGTGCCACAACTTACCAGCCTAGCTCAGACTGGAATGTAAATCCATAGTAAGGCTATAACTGCCAGTTCTGCAGGCAAATAAAAGACCCGCTGGGTCGAACATGGACTTAACGAGAAGACAGGTGCTGAACAGAGTCTGGGCATTGCTGCTCCAGAGAAAATTAGCAAAAGAGAATTAAGGATTTGGTTTAATATGGTGGTAACATTCACAGGTGGCTGCAAAGTCTGGGACAATTAATGGCAACAGGATTCACTGAAGGGCTTCAAATCTCAGACAGCTGGCTCCCAGCCCAGAGCTTTAGATTCCGCAGGGCAAGGGTGGGGCCTCTCATGTGCATGTTGAGACAGTTCCAGAGGGAAGCTGATGCTGCTTGTCCAGGTTCCACACCCTGAGGCCCACTGTTCTAAGGAATCGCTTCTCAAAGCTGCCCTACTCGGAGATGATGGGCTCATGTCCAGTTACAAACAGAGAAACAGCGGAAGAATTCTTTCAGCTCAAGGTCTGATCAGGAACTAACTCATCTGACTAAGAAAAAAAACTGGGACTCACTTCTTATATTCAAACAATCATGACACCTCCTTAAACCAGGGTGGTCTATACTTAATAACAGAAATGTCTGTCAGGTAACAGTAAACTCAACCCAATATGATACACTCCATGAAAAATGTCCAAAGATACAAGAAAGTAAGGTCTTAAACTAAAATGTATACAAAACAGCTTCATTAAAAGACAATTCAACATTAAAAATGTATCAAACCCTTTTATTATATTCTCTGTACTTACTTTGTATATGCTTACCTGTTTAGAAATTAAAGTAGAATCTCTTTCTTTTGAATGTACAGATATGTTACAGTCATTGATAAAATTAAGTGCTTCTTCTAACTCCATCAGCAGTCTTTCATAAAGCCCACTTCTGTCAGTAAATGGTCCACAGTCTACCACAATCTCACATGGCTGAGAAGTATATCTGTAACATCAGAAACAAAAGTTGTCAACACCACAATAAATTCACTACAGCATTACCATCCATTACATATCCAAACCAAAAAAGAAACTCCCTCTTCTCAGCCGTGTAACTACTTGGAAGAACACACAGGCTCACAACAAGCCTTCCTCAAGTTTTACTCACTTCTAGCTGTACTATGTTTGCTGGCTAAGTTTCAATAAATGCATAGGGCTAATAGTCAAAGAATTCTGTTGTTTCATCGTTAATCCCAGGTTTTTCATTTTGATTTTTAGGTTTAGATTTTCATCTTTTGCCCGCTAAGGCATCCCCCAGAATGAGAAACAAAGTTAGTCAAAATAGTCAAGAAACTCAATAATGATTCCTTCTCAGACTCAGAAAAAGGGAAGGCAGTAGATCATAAGGAAGGGTTATCATTAAATGTATCTATTTCCATACTACTTGAAACGTTTAACATTTGCAAATGTCAACTTTTTTGGTTTTTAAATAAACCTTTCTTCTAATTTAGTTTTAACTGGAGGATAAATGCTTTACAGTACTGTGTTGACCTCCGCCACACAACAACCCAAATCAGCCACAAGCACACACATGTGCCCTCCCTCCTGACCCCCCCTCCCCCACCCGCACGCTGTCAGGGCGGCCAGAGCTGCCGGTTAGACGGCAGCCGCCACCGTCTCCCTCACACAGGTAATGTGCACGCTTCCGGGCTGCTCTCAGCCTCTCCCACCCTCTCCTGCCCACGCCGCGTCCACACATCTGTTCCCTACGTGCTCTCCGTCTTGAGTCTCTATTCCTGCCCTGCAGATAGGCTCATCAGTAGCCATTTTTCTAGATTCCATATATATGCGTTAATATGTGGCACTTGCTTTTCTCTTTCTGACTTACTTCACTCTGTATTATCAGGCTCTAGGTTCATCCACCTCACTAGAACTGACTCAAATGTATTCCTTTTTAGGGCTGTCATATTTTAACATGTCCTCAATAAGGAAAGCTCCCCTACATTTCAATCAAATTCCCTAGATATTTCATGCCTTTCATAATATGACAGCAACACATACAATCTTAAAAGCACATGTAATAATTAAGGAAAAGAAATACATTAAAGACATATTTAAAAAGGACAGTGTTCATTATTCCCAGCTAGAATTTATGAGTCAGATTTTGACAGCTAAGTAATGCCAAATGCAATAGAGTATCTATCAGTTTTTTACCTAAACACCCTAAAGGCCATCAGATTTGTATCTCATATCACATTTGGATCCTAACTTCCATGAATCTAAACGTTAGCTTTTCTTCTCATTCCACAAAACAAAGAGAACTCTTTCCAAATTTCTACCAAGTGACAGATACACTGCAAGGTGTTTATCATGTCAATGTAACTGATCACCCAAGAGTCCCCTGAGACCACTGGTAATGCCATTTTATAGGCTCAGGGACAATAAATGACTCACTTGAAGTCACACAGTAGTGGAGCCAGTCCTCAAAACCCAAGTGTGATTTAACTTCACAATCTGAGAAATAAGTCTTCTCTAGTGTAACTGTTTCAAGAACCACCACTTGGTAATCTTTAACCTTGTTAAAGGCTGTACCTAACAAGGATATAATGATAATTTAATATGAATTTAATCAGTTATTGTAATTTAAAGACCTAATTTATAAAGGCTCCCCTCTACCAACTTCAATCACAAAGGCTGTGTTATATGTTTTAATGAAACTCAAAATAGCAACCTCCTCAAAAAGAGACAAATCTATATACAGGTCAGAAATTCACACCCATTTTCAAAATCAGAGAGTGTTTCCCATTAGTTTCAATCAGACTGTAAAATACTGAATTCTCTAAATAAATTAATGTTCTTTCAAACCATCATGAGGGATCCCAGCCCTCATCAACATAAGCAGGCAGGCTGGGCCCATGTGTATGCAATATTCCCTCTTAAAGCTGAAACACCGCCATCTGTTACACTTTCTGGAACCAAGGTTCAATTCCTGCATCTGAAGATGACTACCTGATAAGGAATTCTTAGGTCTTCCAAGGGAGTATGGAACCGAAGGCCTAAAACCATCCTAGCAGGTTTCACTGAAGCCTAGTTAATCCTAAGTGCTTACCTGTCTAAGACCACCAAGTCAGTTGCAGTTTCAGCATTACTCTTAAGAATTTTCTCCAGTTTCTGAATCTTTTCTTCCAATTCCTCTGGATCACATTTCCCATTTAAAATGGAAGCAGTCAGTCCCAAAATACGAGGACAAGATGGACAATTTTCACAAAGCTAATGTAACAAAAGATACTGACAGTAAGGAATTCATTTTGCAAGGCCCCAACCAAAGAGACAGCGTCTTGATAAAACATGTCAAAAAGACCTAACAAACACCAAAATGATCACTTATGGAATTTACTGTAGCTTATTTAAAAGATCAATTTATCAAAAAGGAACATTTAAATATGCTATGATAGATTATGCAATTCACTTATGACAGATCACATAATTTATTTTTATTGTTTAAACTTTTATTATAGATTTAGAAGTTATAAATGTATTATATTATAAATTACAGATTTAAATGAACATTAGTTTAATATTCACTCATTCATTCCTACACTGAAACCAAGTTTCCAAAAGTGGTAACTAATATTGCTTTTGGTATAAAAAACACTGCTTTTACTCAGTAATCTGACCTGCATTATTAACACTGATAAAATCTAAAAACTTACCTTCATAATTTCTCGGTAGGGGTGGTCTAGGATTGCAAGATGACACTCATCAAACACCAAAAGGTTAATGTCTGACAGTGATAAGTAACCATTCTTCAAAACATTCAAGGCGACATAGCAAGTCATAACGAGAACCTAAAATAAAACTGCTATCAGTATACAAACATGCCATTCACCTGCCTGGATATACTTCTATGAAATCAGACTAGGAAACCACTGTATTTTAGGTGAGGATGAAGAAACTCATCATTAAAAATTACAACAACAAAAAAAATTACAACAAACATTCTCAATGTATGGAAGCTCATACTCGAGAATCAAGATGTAAAACAAGGAGACATGGAAAAAAAATACTGATAAAGGAGACCACGTTTTTATGATAAATCTACTCAATCTACTTCAGGTTTTCAGGTTCCTCGTAATTTGACTGATAAGACATGTCAGTTTTATCAGATCACAAAACAATTCACACAATTTTTTCCTGTCAAACTGACAAGGTTTTCTGGAAGAAGACACGGACTCCTTAATTTTTTTTAATGGCTTATCATTCTGTGGATTTTAAGTGCATTATTGAGAAAGCTTAACCCAATATGTAAGATATACTAGCAGACCAGGGACTGCTTGAGGTCAGTTAGGAAACCTCTCTTAACCACTTCAGATTCACCAACACAAGCTGGCGACATGGAAACATCTAGGTTACAGGAAGTGAAAGTCGCTCAGTCGTGTCTGACTCTTTGCGACACAGTCCATGGCATTCTCCGGGCCACAATACTGGAATGGGTAACCTTTTCCTTCTCCAGGGAATCTTCCCAACCGAGGGATCAAACCCAGGTCTCCCACATTGCAGGCAGATTCTTTACCAGCTGAGCCACAAGGGAAACCAAGTTATAGGAAGACTCCATCAAAAATACTAAGATCTCAACCAAGAAATGTCAAGGCATTTAACTCGAGTAAACTTTCTGAAAGCAAGTTATCTGCAAGATGAAATTAGGTCATAGGAATTTGCATTTTTCAAAAAGGAACTCATACTGTGAAGCTGTTTCTTTTCCGTTCAGTAACAGCAACATAAAGGAGTAGCTCATGTGGACTTAGGAGGAGGTTATAATAAGAAAACGCACGGGGATCATTTCTAGGTTGACCAAGTGCAGGAAAGAGAGCCTTTAAACCTAATTCACATGACGAAGGCTTCAGGTCATCTTATAAATCAAGGGCTTGTACAGGCTTATTAAATGAAATTTCTTTATGAGTCTTACCTGGTGTTTAGTAAACTCTTGGTTCCATTTCTCTTTTGTCCAAGATGCACTTACTTCCAGGTTTGAGTATTCCCCAACCTTGAGATCTGAGTGAGTTCTGACAGCTGACACTTGTTGAGCAACCTGGTTTGCTGATTACAAATACAATATCCCATGTAAATACAAGAACTCTTACCTAAATGGCTCTCTGGACGACTACTGATTAAACAGTTAAGGGAAATCCTTATTATTATATATTATATCTAACCACTAATTTTTTACATCACCAACTTAAAACCATACTTTCACAGTTACCTCCAAAATACGCTTCTTATACTCACCACCCCGCCTGTCACTCACTTTATAAAGTCTTAGACCACCTTATTTCTTTAAGGTGACTTTCCCCAATCTAAGAATATAATTTCTAGGCTAGAATGGCAACTACTGCAGATCCACCCCTCCAGCTTTCTTCAATACAATCAGATTGTATCACCAAGAAATAACACAGACTGATATATATTTAAAGCACATGAGAACATCACATGCTGAAACAATCTAAAAAGAAAAGAAAAAAAGGAGAGGAGTGACATGGTTATATTAGTACTTGAGCTGTTTATGTTCACATTTTATACTTTTTATTTTAATATATAACCCCGAACACATAAAAACCTATACTTTAAACTCTTACTGATATCTAACTTTCAAAAAGCCTCTGATTTTCTTTCTACAACTGGTATAGCAAAATCATAAATCAAAAAGTTACCTATAATCAAGCTCTTTATGATAACACTTTGTGAAACTAAAACATTAAAAACAAAGTAACTACTGAGATCAGAGCAGAGCCAGAATTAAATGCGGTTCCATTTAAGAAGAAAGCTAATGTTTAACATCTATGAAATAAGATGACTATCATTTAAGAGAAATACTATTTAAAGTTAAGAAATAAGACAGAATGATATTTCTGCTTCAACAAGCACATTATTCATCAACCTCTCTGTACTTTCAAGACTTTAACTTTATACCCCAAGAGCAAATCTGCTTAACCATGAGATCTCATCCAATCTCCTCCATACAATTTGACAAAACAGCGCTTTGTTACCAGAGTTGGCCAAGAACACCGTCCTTTTGCCATTGCCGTTGAGGTCTCCCCTGATCTGATAAGACAGCTCTTTAGTGAGTAGTACTGCAATAAACGTCTTCCCTGAGCCAGTGTTTAAACAGACTATGGTATTATGATCCAGAGCTGCTTCAAGCAGTTCCACCTAGAAATACAGTGGGGAAAAAAGATTACACACTTCTTATCTAAGTACAGAATTTTAAAAACTGGATTTTGTTTCAATTCAGAAAATTGCATTGTTTTCTAAAATCTTCCTCCAATAAATCTGCCCTTTCAAAAAGCTTACCTTCTACATGTTTATATAATAATAATAATTAGAGGTATTAAAATGCAGGTTACACACAGCTGTGCTGTATAAATGTGCTGAAATGGCATTTACAAGTTCTTTAAAAATCATTTTCACAGGGACAGAAACTTTTGTAGAATGATGTGAACAACTGAAACACTATAACTGAATGGAAAATAAGTGGTTATTTAAAATTCATCAGCAAAGTCAAAGTAAAGAAGAACACTAATGATTTTACTACTGCTTATTATACTGATCTACTCTTATTTACCACTTTAGACCAACTGTAATAGAATATATTGTTTCTTTAAAAAAAAAAAAAAGACTACAACCATGGGTCTGACAGTCTATGTTTGTTCAAACCAATCTCGATTCCTACCCAGATCATGAGGACAGACACACCCAAATAGACACTCAGGAACAGTGAGGTTTTCACAGGGTAAAAAAGATAAGAAATTTCATCAATAAAACTATCAAATCAATTACCCAGCAGATGTTAGAAAAGAAAATAACTATTAAGAACAAAAGTATTTGGAATGAGAAAATTAATCAGAAGAGGAAAGCTTAAAAAGGTAAAGGAGTTTTATAGAAGTTGTGTCAACTATATGCTAATATATTCCATTTTAGTGAAAATGCTCCAGTATTAGTGTTCTCATTAGTACCTGATATTTTCTTGGCGTATAAATGTTATCATGAATTGCTTCTTGTTGCCATGGCAGTCCAAAGAAAGGACCCATTGGTGAGGAAGCAGGGGTCATGAGCTGCAGGCCTGCCATGCTGAGGGGTTGCAAAGCAGGGCTTTTCATTCATCCAGTGTTTCTTTCATTGCATTTTTGTTCTAGCACAGCTTACTACAAAAGGGAAAAAGAATACCATTACACAACCATGCAGGGTTAAAAACAAAAGAGAGCGCAGAAACTAGAGAAACGTCAGAATATCATTCCTACGGGCCTTTTCAAATTCTCCCTGTAATTGTTTCAGCTTTTTCTTGATCTAAGAGGATCTGTTTTAAAAGTCAAGCATCCTACACTCGCCAACCCAGCAATTCTATACCCAGAAACCTGCCTGAAAGGATCAGGCAGATGCACAAGGATATAAACACATGAATGTTTATTGCCACATTATTACTTAAGAGCAAGAAATAACCTCAAAATGAATTAATCAAAAATTACTTAAGTAAATTATGGTCTAGTCTTAAAGTGGAAAACTTTAAATCCATTAAGATAATATATATCTAGATTTACTGACATAGAACCATGTCCATAAAATACCTTTAAAAGAAAATTTGTATACTATGATGCTCTTTAAAATAAATATGTTTATATACAAAACATGTAAATATATATGTAAATATATTTCAAACATTTGTAAATTCTATGATGCTATTATTGATAAAATAATGAGAAAACTGTATGAAAGGCACTTCACACCGCGTACACACAGAAGGAGTCAAATGCCGCCAACATTCGGTCATTTTATCAAAGGACCATAAACATAGAGGAGGGTCATTTTTCTTAACTGACACCCTATCACAATTGCACAGCTGATCGACTATTTATACAAGTTTCATTAAAATTATGCATACCGTAGATAAATTAAAACAAGGCAACACCATTTTGTGAAATAAGAGCTACTTCATAGTGTCTAAGCACTCTTCTATATTTCACATATTCTTCCCCAAAGATAAATTTGATTATGTAAAAGGATAAAACAGAAATTCAGGCTTTTTAAAATTCCTAGCCTGCAGATAAACGGTTAAGGGTTTCAAATCTCTATGAGAAAGTCCATCAGCGCAGAACTGACTTGCCCTGTAGAAGGGAATTTCCCCTTGTACTGCTTTGCAGTGTTCACTGTTATTACTCTATGAAACTGGAAAGAAAGAATCCCCACTCTGTTTCCTGACAACAAAAACTTTGAACCTCCTGACCTGTTAAATTTATAACCATGGTACAACACAGTGACTTAAACTGTTGTATCTAATCCACCAAGAAGCCTCGAGAGTACAGTCTCTTGCATGCATAGGCTTAATACCGCAATTTTGATTTCAGAGCTTAATTCAGCTGACAAGAATTTAACACCCAGTTAATACAATAGCACGTCCAGTAAACGCGGCCGCAGGCCTCAGCACGGGGTGTGTCCGTGGACCAGAGAGCATGGCCGTTCTCGGCATCCTTCTCAGAGGAGGATGACAAGCAGGGTGTTCCAGAGTACACTGCGAGAAACTATCAAGTCCTTCTTTTGCCGGGGTCAAACAGAACTACATTTTCCACAGAAAATAATGCGCTCATTCTCTACTGAACCAAAGTCCCAACAGCCATCCTTGTACCTCTTTTATACTCAGCATTCACTTCTCTCAATTCTGCAGGCCCACAGGATAAACAGTCTCAGGTTGATCATTCAAGCTTCTTACTCAGCCCTGCTACAAAGAACCTGAAGTGGAAGGCTATTTTACCTAACAGCGTGAGACCCAGCAGGTCATGCTGAAGGCCTAAGGCTGAAACCTGCAGGCACTTCCCACATGGCTAGCCATTCCTGGGGTATCTCCATACGGTGCTCCTTATCCGCAGGTTCCAATTCCACAGGTCAATCTATCCTTGGTTAGATGAATCCACGGATGCAGGAGGATCAACTCTACTATGCAAGGGACATAAGCATCCGGGGATTTGGGCATCAGAGGGTCCTGGAACCAACCACCACGAGCACCGAGGGACAACTGTACTCTTTCACTACTCTAGGCCGCTCACTGGCAGGATTATTTACATTAAGCCTGACGCTTCACTTTCCACCCAACCCAAATGTTAATCCAAGACCAAACAAATAAATGGTGGAGGGATCAGGAAAAAAGCCCAAATCCTGGTGGTGGATGGAAATTTTCAAAGGAGAAAAGAGGGCAGCGATGTAAATCCTCAAACACACTTCCTCCACCTCCAGGAGCCCTCCTTCTTACCACTGTCACCATTTCTTCTGATGGAGACAACATTAGTAGTAATGACAGAGCCAGAAAATAGTCTAAAACAGAAATGAATGTTCTATTTTTAGAATAGTGTCAAAAAATCTATTTATAAATACTTAAAAATTTATTATAGACTATATAAAAGTAGTCTAAAAAATAAAATCTATTTTTAGAATAGGCTTAGAATAGTCTAAAAAATACAAGGATGCTCTATTTTTTTAAGGGCACATGACAGTCTTCAAAATTATCAGTATCATAAAATACAAAGAAAAAACTAAAAATGTTCCAAATTAAAGAAGACTGTAGAAACATGACAACTAAACGCAGTAACTGACCTCAGCCTAGATCCTTCCCTGTTACAGAACAAAGGCTATAAGGGTCATTATAGAGTGCAGCGATGAGGCTGTAGACAATGCACTGTGACACTCACTGAGATGATGACTGCACCATGATTACCACAGGGAAGCATCCTTACTCTTGGCAAATACAGTGACATATTTAGGAGTAAAAGGGCCGTAATGCATGCAACTTATTCTCAAATGGTTCAGAACCAGAAACTACACATAGACAGAGAGAAAATGGATGTAACTGATAAAGCAAATGGAGCAAAACAGGAAAAGCACATAATCTTTGTCCTAGTCTTATTCTTTTCTCTAAGTTTGAAATTACTTCCAAATAGTTTTAAAAAGTAAACAGTTAAATATGACCCATGAGACCAGGATCTCCGTGAGTATAGGAGCTGTATATCTCACACAAAGTTCTGTCACCTACCAAACCAAATTACAGCCCAGACACGACAAACAAACAATACAGCTTTGTACAGTGAAGACACTGCCTATGTGCATGACAAAAGCCTTCACACAGCGTCTCTTTCCCTTTCATTAGTTATGTCACATTGCATATAGTCTAAGAGACACGTACGGACACAGCTCCCCCTCTGACTGGCACACACATTTTATGAGAACAGGACGTGCGTCTCATTCTCTGCAGCTCTTAAATTTCCATACGTGTGTCATATATATACATTTAAATAAAAATGTGATGAACTCAATCAGAGATTCATGAATGTCTACACAATAACACACACAACAGAAGCACAGACAGCTTAGAAGATATTTCTACAGTACTTGGTTTGGAAATGCACACCCACCCCACTCCGACTCACCCTGAAGGGCGGATGCAGGAGAGAAAATCTGCAAGGAAATGGAGGATAGGAATTGAACCCTCCCATTACATTCCCATTAGGTCACAATATTTAAACTAATTTTCATTCACTTAGCACAGTGACTGGCCCCAGTAATATACTATCTACTCGGAGAAAGCAAATCCAACATTGAAAACCCAACAAATAATCCAATAACGTGAAAACTAAAAAAGCCTATAATTTTGCCAGTTTTTACTTTCTTTGGCATGTTTAAATAAGTTTTTTTTTTTCCTCTTAACTTGGCCTTAATGAAAAGCTCTGAATCCCTACTGGTAAGTAAAAGTTCTAGAGTTTCACAGATTAACTGACTATAATTAACTGCCTCAGCAGAGCCAACAGGATAATCTACGTGACTATTTTCCAATCACAGATTTTAACAATTAACGCTCATGAAAGTGGTGAGACTTTCATAGCTTTGGATGATTCGTTTAGAAATAACTTAATAAGACACATGAATAAACTCTTTCTTTTTCCACATAGGATAAAGCCCAGATTTACCGTCTTAATGTTTGAGATCTCTGTGTTGCTGTTGTCTGAACTGCATTTTGACATTGTGATAGCAGTTTATTGGAAAATCACAGCATACCCAAGCTTCTGCTCTAAAAATAAAGGCAAAAATAGCCAAGTTTAAGATTCTTGTACTTAAACTGAATATAAACACATCTACAAGAAAGTCCCATTGATATGAAATGTGGAATAAAAAGGCCATTATTTTGTATTAAACTTTAAACAAAAGACATCTGGGTTACTTTAGGATACTAAGTCTTATTCGAAAACAAAGAACAAGAGAATGAGCTGTAACAAGAGCATGCCTAATTTCCAGAGATCAGGGGCGGGGAGGGGGTGGGGTTATAGAAGAGTTCAAGGAAAGATCTTAAAATGAATACAATGAAATCCAAGTACATAAAATTCTAAAGAGTGACTAGGAAAATGGAAAAAATAAATAAATGTGCGCGCGTGTGTGCATGCGCGTGTGTGTGTGCGTGTGTGCCTGTGCGCGCACATGTGCGCACAGCTGCTCAGTCGTGTCTGACTCTCTGCGACCCCATGGACTGCAGCCCAGATGTGTTATTTCCTAAATAAATACACAAGAGAAGTAAAGAAGATCACCAGAAGAGGTACTTGTCTAAGTAATCAAAATCAGCTGACGGTAAGTCTTCACCCCATGTATGAAGTCTTATCAGCAATTTACGTTTCTCAAAGAAAATTTAAAACATGATCTTAAAGAACAATTAATCTAACTATAAACTTTCATTAAATTCATTTATGAATAAAAGAACTCAGGAACACAGTTCAAGAATGTTAATACTGTGGAGAAATTTAAGTTTAAGGGTGGCCCCAAATAATCCTAAAAGAGACTAGAAATCAAAAGGGAAGCATAAAGCATTGACGTGAAAAGCTTAATTCAATGAACAAGTGTTGATTTTCTTAGATCTGGTACCAGATATAATTTGTGCTCCTTAACTTGAGCGTCTCTAATACCACAGGCTCAGGGAAAAACAAATTGGCAGCGGCCTCTTCTCACTTATTTGCATCTGGTCTAGTCTATAGCAGTTTAAAGGACACTCATGTAGAGGTTAAGCTTTCTCATTTCATACACAAATTGGTTTTGCTAATAAGTTAACAAAGCAGAATGGGGGAACCTTAAC